ATGCACACTTAGGTAGCCAATTAATTTATATCCTGCCTTTCTGCCAAAGAATGACTAACAATAAAAACTGAATTAAAGCAAAATCTTAATTAAAACACAGCATAAAAACAAATAAATTAAAAATACTTCTTAAATGCCAGCATTATAGCAGAATAACACTAGAATGCTATGGGTTCATTTCCCATTATCAACATTAAAGCACATCGCTAACATGTCAGTGAGTGAGAAGGCTGACTTTTTCCTCTTCTCCCCCCTCTCTCCACCCTCAGGCATTATACTTCGGGCACCTTTGCTTCTTGTGTGAGTTAGTGGAACCAACCAATGCAAAATTTACCCGTTCTACAGAGAAACCCTACGCAGGAGAAAGTGGATTTTATACAACCTGAAACTGGACTTCATTATTCAGTAAAAGCTACTCAATCTGGCTTCAGTGATCTTTTCTTTAGCCTAGTACTTCATCCAAAATTCTTCCCTATTTGGTTAATATAAAGACGACCAAATTTCTCTGCGTGGTCCAACCTATAAGCATCCCTCTCCTACTGGAGCCCAGTTTGGATGATTCTCACCTCATCTTGGAACTCATAATATGGATATTTTGGCAGGCCATTAAGATAGGTTTTGTTTCCCTCCCCTAGCTCTCCCTCCCTTTCTAACATCTTACCTGATGAAGAGATCTGAAAATCCCAAAAGTTCATTTTGGGGGTGATCTTTTGGATGGCCTACTAACATTAAAAGATTTTAATATTTTTGATTGCTTAAAAAAAGAAGTGTCGTAGCAATGATTCTGAGATAGATTTTGCACACACTCTGGCATAATGGCGATTCCCGCAAAGCTGATAATGAAGGGGTCTTGTTGTTATGTGCCATCAAGTCATCTATCTCCAACTTACGGCAGCCCTGGAAATGAAAACCCTCCAAGATGTCCTCTCCGTGACAGCCCTGCTCAGCTCTTGCAAAGGCAAGGATATGGCTTTTTTCTCTTCCTTCCTTTCCTTCTTCTGCCTTTGACTTTCCCTACCATGACCATCTTCAGTGAAATGGGTGCCAAGATGCAGTAGGTTTAAACCCCTGATGTAGGTTCACTCTTTTACAAAGTCACAAGAGTAGGTCTAAGGGCTTCTACAGCAATAGAAATTCCACAAGGCTTTCATTTGGCTGGAAAAATGCTAGACCTTCATCTACAGAAAAGGTTGGGTGCCAGTGAGCTGATGCTGGCAAGCTGTGGTTGGACCCATGTCAAAGCGACAGAACAAGGTGCGATGGTGTGGAAGCCTCTGGAGTCCAAGACGGGCGTTTCATTCGACACTCCTATAATGGGTGGGAGTAAGGGAAGAGCTAAAGACTCGCACTTTGAGGCGCAAACGGGGACCTCAGCTTGGAGCTAGTGATGGTCAAGGGATAAAAAAAGCCCCTGAACTCATTCCCAACTTGTTCTCTTCCCCCTCCCTACTCCAGTCTTTTAATTAAGTATCTGTCTGCGCTAATTGATCATTTCTTCTATTAAATTTTCAGCTCCTCCAGTAGCAGTTTTAATTGCATCTAGGAAGGAGTGCCCTTTACTGCTGGGCGCTGTCGAGATGTGGCCAGACTTCCTTAACCCCATCTGTGGGCTCAGCAGCTGTGACAAAGAGCACCATTATCTGTGCTTTGCTTATCAGGAGTTTCCCACGTTCACCATGTCTTCACGGAGTCTTAGGACGGCAAGCATAATCGTCCACTTCATGGTCTTCCATGGGGCTAACTCCTAAATACGTATGCACAGGATTGTAGCTCCAATTTCTGGAACTCTGTTTGCGTGGCCAGAACCAGCAGTAGGTTCAAAGCCAAGTGGAAGGAGGAACTATCCGGAAACTCCTACGGTGTGTGGTTCTGTCACTACTCTCATCCTCCACAGGTGTCCCCCAGGAAGCTCACCGTGCAAAGATCAACTGGCTACCATAATTTAAGACTGCAACACATTGACAAGGACTAAACTGCTGTAAAAACAGTGGGATTAACTTCTGAGTAAACATACATAGGATTGCATGGCAACGGAAAACAAATTGGGTAGAATGTTGGTAATCTATTGCCTTTGAACCCTGATCCAAATATTTTTGGTGACCACTCCGACATTCATTATGTAATCTGCCTGCATGTCACACCTGTGAGGTCATACTCTCCCAGGATCCCACTTGGACTTATTCATTCTTTGTTCTTCGAACCTATTTTCATAGCAAGCTACTCCACTTTTCATGGCCATCTATCTCCATTCTTAAGTAAGTCCAAAGAGAATCAGTGGTTTATGCAAGGTTAAAGGATCACAAGCCTTATGTTATATAGTGAATATCCATGTATGAAAAGGGCGGGGGGTCCTTCAACCCTGAATGATAATATTGATAACATTGAAGGAATGGAGGCAAATGCAGGACAGCCAAAATGTGCGGAAGCAAATGGATTTCCCCAGGGATGTCTGGTTAGAGATGGGAAGAAGGATTTGAAGATGGAATTTTTAAGCAGAAGGAGAGCCCCCTCTCTTTCAACACAGCTTTACTACCTTCTTCTCCTATTCTTCCATCGACCCCAAATCTTTCTTAATTGAGTTCTCTGCATCCCCTTTTCCTCTCTTGGATTTTATCATCCCTTCTTCTCTGTTCCTGAAAGTAACTTTCTCTCTTCTTGCCGGTCCCCAGCCCTCTTCTCCCTCTCCTTTCTTCCACTTTTGCCTTCATCCCACTGCAATTTCCCTCCATCTCCCCCACTCACCCATTCACCCCCCGCCGCTTCTCGACAGCCGAAAGTCCCAATCAATCAATGAGCCAAGGATGTTATCAATAACCTAGAAGATGGATAAAGCCGCACGTCTTGATTACAATCCCTGTCTGCCGCACTTTAATTAACACTTTAGTTAATTAGTTCGGGACCATTTACGAGTAAAATGTTTTTATTAGGGAATTTGCATGATGGCGCCATTTGATGAATTGATGTGTTACCCAAACTATCCGACTGTTCTTAATAGATAATAAACAGGAATCAATCAGCCAGTGCCGACCGAGCCTCCCACGATGGCGCATCGTCTCCACTCATTAAGACAGGGTGACGAACAAAGTTTCCTTCCTTCCCAGCCTGTGGGAAAGCATCAGGACACGTCCCCAGATCAGCACTCAAAGAGAGGACAGGCTCCGACCGACCGAGCGCAGGAAGGGCCATTCGCGTTGAGATTGGCAGAACGTGTTCACCGGCAGCCCAGGTGCAAAGGCCATCTGCGAAAGCCTGTGGTCAAGCCCAGGAATGCTGGGGCAGCTGCTAGTGCACCCCAGGGCTGCTTTTCCTCTTGACCAGCCTGGGTTACCACCTGCCTCTCACCTGCCCAGACGGACACAGAGGTGGGAAGGAGAAACATGGAAACCAAGCAGCGGATGACAGAGGAACGGAGAAGGCAGATTCCCTGAGGGAGGCGCTCATGGAGGGCCTCTTGCCCAGGAGCCCACACAAACCCTGGGGCTGGCAGCCTAGTGGCACTAGTGTGGTTGTGTCGCCCTCTCTTCTGACGCTTGCACGAGATCCTGGGCCAGCGACAAATGGGAGTAGGGACTCCCTCCTGCTGTTCCTGGCCTGGCCAGTCCATTCCCCAGGGAATTTGGCTCGGGAAAGACAGTGCGGGTAAAACCTTACCAAGGAGGCTGCTCACATCTAGGCATGTAAAGTTCATTCATCAACAGCCCGTCGGAAAGCGTTGCCAAAGGGGCTGCTGCATTCACAGCTCCCGCTCTGGTCTTCTGCAGGCACTGGCCTGGAGAAGCCCGTTCCCGTGTTGGGAACCAGGGACTTGGTGCCACTCCCAGAGTTCTCAAGCCACCTCCTCTTACACAGTGGGGCAGAAGAACATAAGTCGAGCCTGGTTCTTCACACCAGTGACCCAGTCCTGTAGGTGCCGGTGGGAAGCGCTTAAGTGAGACACGAGTGCCATCCCACCCTCTTACCCATGGTCCCCAGCTCCTGGTGTATGCAGGCAATAGCCTTTGATCCTGGGGGTTGCACAAGCAGGCTATTGACAGTCTTCTCCTCCAAGAATTCGTCCAGCCACCCTTTAGAGCTGTTCAAATTGGAGGCCATCACTTCATTTCACGGAAGGGAATTCCATAAGTTAATAATTCCGTAATTCTGTGTGAAGCGGGACTTCCATTTATCTGCCCTGAATCTTCCACCAGCCAGCTTCATGGGATGTCTCCTTTGGGTTCTACTATTATGAAGGAGGAAGAAAAATGTCTCTTCTTATCTACTTTCTCCATACAATGCACAATTTTGTGCATTACATCTCCCTTTATTTGCCTTTTCTCTAAGCCAAACAATCGCAGCTACTGTACCTTGAATATTTGGGCTGCACCTTTCTGCTTTTTTCCCAACTCTGCCCCATCCTTCTTTGGCTGCACTGACAAGAGCCTGTAGAGCAAAGCCAAGTGTGCCTGGACCATAGACTTCTACAAGGCAAATATGACATTGGCAATTTGTGATCTGCCAACAGAAGAACTTGGCTTTCCCCAGGGTGTCAAAATGTCAGGCCTGCAGGCCAAATCTGACCCTCGGGAGTTTCCCGAGTTCTTCTGGTCCCTGGTCCTTTCCCTCAAGCAGTCCAAGCAATCTCTCTCTGCACATGGGATGAGACCGGTGTCTCTATTGTGCGCCCTCTGCCGCCTTTACATAGTGTTCCATGATTGTGAACCTAGTCTGGGGATCGCTCAGCACTGTGGACAGCTCATATACACAGAATAAAAGCTGTAATGGATAAGGAGCCCCACTAAGGAGTCCTCACCCCCACCCCTCTCCAAGGAGTTAAGCATGACTCTTCTCCAGCCTGACCTAGAGATGCCAGGGACTTGCTGAAATGTGGATTACCATGTTGTCTTCTGAACACAGCCATAAAAGAAACCATGATGAACAACCCACAGTTCACAACCCACGAACAAACCAAGGGTTCTCTTCATGGGTTGTTCATGGTTAGCAAACCATGACTTATTAGCACAGCTAGGTTCAGAGAAGCCACAACCCACACTGAACCTTTGAGTATAAGTTATTGTGCTGTCTGAATGTAACCTATGCCTTCCACCCCTGGCAGGCACCTGATTACAACAGAGGAAGTGGGGACCTCTTCGGTGCAGAACTGCGTTGACCCTCAGAGCCAAATTCCGTTTCAGAAGAGCTTTCTGGCACCATGTTGCAGAGGGCAAAAGGCAGAAAGGACACAGCCAAAACTAAAATAGGAGACACAATACCAGCTCAACAGGTCCTACTGCCGGTCACTAAGACTTTGCTTTGATTCAGGCCGCAGGCTGTTTTTCCTACCCGGTTCACCACACTCTTCTCACCTGGTCACCTGTGGTAAGAAAGAAGCATATCCAGGTGAACAAGCAGGAAAGTCCGGAGTTCCACTCACCTTCCTTTCAGAACAAACATAATTAACATACAGCACACACGGACCGGCTGGCCAGCGCCGGCTTGCATGGGCTAGTGACTTTGTGAGGGCATCTTTATGAAGCTGCAGTGATGTCGATCTTTCTGGAGTGGTTCTGCCCATGCAACAGAATGTGGTGGTACAATCCAGAGGTGGCGGAAGGGGCTATAACATGCCAGGCTGCACATTAGTGGGGTTTGTATGCATGGAGTCAGGCTGGCTCAGATGCGGACAAGCCTTGCCATGCTGTCTTTTCAACAAGATAATCATGCTCGTCAGTTCAAAGACCCAAGCGGGATACAAGTCATACGTCTCCAGTGCATAAGCTACTTCCCAAAACAGGGCCAGCCCTATCATGAGGCTGAGTGAGGCAGCCAGCTCAGGGGGCAGAGTGGAAGGGGTGGCAAATCGCATCGCCCCCACCAGGAGGGCCGGTCTCCTCCCCTGAGGCCTCTGGGGAGCCTGACAGCGGCTCTCTTGCTGCAGCCTTGGATGGAGAAACCACCCCATTTCTCCTTTCCTTTGCTGGCCAGAAGAAGCAGCCACGAGGCTGTGGGATCCAGCACACTCTTGCAAGAGCCCTACACGCGAGAAGGAAAGGTGCAAGGTGGCAGGAGCGTTCTGGACCCAGGCAGTGAGGGACCTTGAGGTGGGACAGGTCATAAGTCAACCCCTTCGATGCACCTGGCTTGCACTGCTGCTTCAGACAGAAGGTAAAGACGACACCCTTTCTCCCTCTAGGGGCACAAACTGCGGGAAGCTCAGCCAATCACAAAACCTTTCTCACATGTTCACACAATTGCACAAGTGTCATATCGAGCGTGCAATCTTGTGAGGGTCTCTTATTATTACTTTGATTGATCAGAGAGTGGGGTTACAGGCAGACCGGCTCCTGCCCCTCGACTGCTCTGTAAAAGAGAGGGTGTTTTTGCAGACGGCTTGCCAGAAAAGAACGAGGAAAGTTCTACCTGCCAAAACGCCTCTTCTGCACGTTTATTAATGATAAAACAAGTGTTGCTCATTTGTCAACCAGAGCTTGTAAATGAGCTTTTAATAGGGACTTCTAAGGCAAATTTTAGCACCGGGGTTTCACAGGCCACGTTCCAGGACTGGGAGAATATGCAAGGGGATGAATCCAAACAGGCCAGTGTACTTTGAGCTCCGATAGTCAATGACGGAGCTCCAGGAGAGGCGGCTGGAGGAAAGGGGGCCAGGCCAGGGGAGAGGGACCCGCAGATTTGGCCCACCAGCCGGAGGATCAGCACTCCTGCCTTAGCCTGTGACGGTGCTGACCTCTGGGTACCGAGTTGCCTTTAAAGGCGCCAAAGCAAGCCAGCAGTCTTGCTGTGTTGGGCTGACCACCGTTCGCAGCAGCTTATTCTAGCAGAGTGCTCGGAATTTGGAATGTGATTTGGCCTTGCTCTTCGTGTCATCCACTGGCCTGAAAAAAGCAGGATTGGATCATTTCATTCTAAGAGGGCTGGATATGTGGGAAGAGCAGCAGAAAAGACCCTGGACAGCACAAAGGCAAACCTGCCCACCAACTCAATGCTGCAAAGGAAAACACTGCGAAGCAGCACCGGCAGCTGGTTCCAAAGCTGGCAAGTCTGCTTGCCCCAGAGGTCCACGAGAAGCCCGTTTTTCATGGCATCCCTGCCTCCCTCTCTCTTTTCTGCCCTGGAAGCAGCTCCCCTTCCCTCAGACCCGAGTCCTTCCACTCTAGATCCTTGTGAGAGGAGCGCCATCATGTGGCCATCGGTGTTCATTGCATGGGGTGTGGACCAAACTCTGGCTTAGAAGGGGCAGATAGAACGAGCCGGGCAGAAAAACCTCGGGAAAGTGAGCATTTTAGAAATCGGTGTGCTGCATGGGGAATTATGCCATATTTTAGAGTTATGGGGGAAATCCGGGTTGGAGTTAGGGTTGGCAGAATGAAGGTGCTTCTGATGCTTCCGAGGCCTGGAAGGTGCTTAGAAGGGGCAGATAGAACGAGCTGGGCAGAAAAACCTCGGGAAAGTGAGCATTTTAGAAATCGGTGTGCTGCATGGGGAATTATGCCATATTTTAGTGTTACGGGGGAAATCCAGGCTGGGGTTAGGGTTAGCAGAATGAAGGTGCTTCTGATGCTTCCCAGGCCTGGAAGGTGCTTAGAAGGGGCAGACAGAACGAGCCGGGCAGAAAAACCTCGGGAAAGTGAAGATTTTAGAAATCAGTGTGCTGCATGGGGAATTCTGCCAGATTTTAGGGTTACCTTCCAGGCCGGAAGGGACAGCTCACACCCTTCTATTCCCAGTCCTGGAAGGATCTCAGGGGGAACAGCAGCCCTGACTTCATAGCTGGGTTCCTTTCTCTCCCCCACACGCTCTTTTGCACAGGATTCGTCGTATTTGATAAGCCTGTACACACATTCGGGCCTGCTATAGGGAGCCCGGGGAGCGGAGTATTTTGCCCCCTACTCCGATTTGGTGAAGCGTGTGCCGCGTGGGTGTGGGTGTGGGGTGGTCCCCACGTTTTGGAGGGTGCTGCTGCAAGGCATCCCCCCGGAGAGCCCTCCTCCAGGCTGTGATCACAGAGGGGCCCCCAACTGCTCTTTCTTATGGCTGCTGCCACATGCTTGCTTGCTTGCATCATCTGGCCAGCAAGAGAAGCAGCTGCAACTGTGAAGAAGGTTTTTGATGGCGGGTCCCTATCTGGATATGAACCCTTGGCAAGTGCCTGACTTCACCTACCCCTGATGTCTGCCCTGGTCGTGAGGGTTCAAGGCCCTGCCCTCACCTTCCTGCGCCAATCCAGTGCGCCCCAAACAAGTTGGACTACAACCCCCATCCTCTCCAGCCAAGTGGTCAGTGGATGATAGGACTCGTAGTCATGCACATCTGGAGGGCCCAGGTTTGAGAAGGCTCCCTTAAGGTGCATAACCAAAGATCAATGGAGAACTGACCAGCTGAAAAGAAACAATCTGGAGCCCTAAATTTCTGCCTATGGGCCTCAAAATAAAAAACAGACACGTCCTTGACCGCTTTTCTTTTGGTCAGCTGGCAACCCAAGTAGAAATTTATTTTCGTAGTTTAAGAAATCATATTCACTGGGCCTCTCTCGCGGCTGGGGGCATCTGCCGTTCCTGCTTTCCCCCCCCCCTTCTCCAAATGCTTCATTATTCTATATATGTTTTTCAGAGGTTCAGAAAAAACCTCACGACAGAAGTTGGTTGTAAAACCAGCTGGGCCTGAGGCTTTTCTTTTTAACATGCTGTTTTCTTTACAGCTTTGCTTATTTCATGTTCTAAAACTGGCTTCCCCCCCTTCTTGTGCTCCATCTCAGAGATGGATCCCTTGGAGTTATTTGCTAATGTCCTGCCTGGTTGTTTGTGCGTTTTCCCTGTTGCTGGAGTTTTAAAAGAGCTCTTTTGTAGATTTGTGTGGAATGGTTTCTAGCTATGTACAAGTTCTAAATTTGCATCCTGATTGAGCCTTGAAGGCTCAGCATGGATAAAATAAAATGAGGAGAGCGCCAATGAACATATACAGAGTGCCTGTCTCTCACCATCATTGCCCACATATTAAGCATTTCAGGTTACAGATCCCAGGACAGAGAATCTGCTCAAGACTGTGAATTAAAAAAGAAAAGAAAATTACTATCTTCTGCAGCAACAAAAAACCTGAATGCTAATATTTCACCAGGCATTTCCCACAATATCTTCGCAACAATAGGGTCTAGAAACTTGCTCTTTTTTTTTAAACACCTGTAACTCAGTCCCTTTCTCCCACAACCCTGTTCTGATGGTAGCATACATAAAGCCTCAGTAAGTTTGGCTTCAGGTGAGCTAGAACCTCAGACATTTTTGGAATTAGGGAGATATGTAATTAGGGATGCCACCCAAGCACAATTAGCTGGTCCAAAATACAAATTAGTCCATTTCTTCAAGTCTGGATATTTTATGAAATGAGCACTTTCCCACCCACTGAAGCTCTTCTCTGGCTTGAAGAAAAAAAAAAGATTTTGCCTATTACACCATCAATACCAAGGCCTGACCCATCTCCTTTGAAGGTTCAAGGTTCTCTCTCGGGAATATTTTATTGGACTGTTATTTATTTATTTATTAAAACATTTCTATGCCGCCCCATTCGCCGAAGCCTATCCAGGTCTAAACCCCACTCTTCCTCCTGGGTTTATGCTTGGGAAGTGGGAGCAGCTGAATTCCCAGGCATACCCTCCACTACAGTTGACTCTATGAGGTGGGTGCAAAGTAGGTCCAATCAAATAATTCCAGGAAGTAAGATGGTATTTCAGAGCCGCACCTGCCATGGTACCAGTATTGTAAGCTAGGAAAGAGCTATGAACAGGTGAGTTTGGTTCCCCCAACTCCACCCCTTGTGCAAAGCTTCAGAATTGAGAAAAGCTTACCTATCATTCCAGAGCGCCAGGAGTCTAAATTCCTGGAATCAGTTCTTGCTGTGGCATAGGGAATAGCGGTTAGAGCAGGAGGAAAGATTTGCAGCTATGGCCCCTCCAGGGACATTTCCAGGCTCTGAAAATAGTCAGTAGGGTGGCCATGTGCGCCATGAGACAGAGGACAGTCCTCTGTTTGAAAAACAATTAGTCCTCTGTAAAAAGGTATTCGAAGAACATCAGGAAAGCTGTGCAGGGTCAGACCAAGGTCCGGCTTGCGAGTTGGACGGAAAAGCATCGGCCTCTTGCCGCCCTGCTCCCCAGCAACAGTCTCTGATACTGGAAGTAGCTTGTAGACATCAGGACTAGTCGCTCCTGTTATCCTTTTCCTCTGCTCGAAGGACTGTTGCGTTCAGTTTGGAAGAAAGGTCATGAGCCACAGAGGCCTTGCACTTCCCCATAAGCGTGTGCCCCTGGCCTGGACTGCGGACTGAGCGGACAAGCACACAGATCCCCTGGGATGCTTCCAGGTGAGGCTTTGATCCATTCACTGCATTGTTAAGCAGAGCAGGGAAAGGGTGTCCTCTTCCCCCAGGACATTCCTGTGTTTTCCCACTGCTGTGCCTGGCTTTTCACTTACTACAGCAAATCTGTTAAGGGGAAAAAGATGGAAAGGTTGCACTTTGCTGGAAAAGTAACACGAGTAGCTTTCCACCTGGGAACAACACAGGTGGGGGAGATAGGAGATACACTGCCGTTCTATTTAAAAACATTCTCTCTGAACTTGCAACTCTGTGTGTATCTGATTAGTTAATTTCTATGCCACCCAATAGCCAAAGCTCTCTGGCAGAGGGAGATTAGCAGAGACAAATTTGAAACAAAGCTCTTTCTTCTCTTTTGAGCAAACCCACAAGTGGCCACCCTAAAAGTTGCCAAGCGGTAACAGTAAGAGGAAACCAGCTTGAAACCCCATGTGAAACCTACTTCTGTTCTACTGGCATTCAATTGCTTCTGCATTTCCTTTAAAAACAACCTCTTGTTTATCCAGTCTCCCGAATGCCAGTTCTGTCGCCCCTTCTGTTTCTGTTACCTCCTGGGTTGCCAATTGTTTAAATGGCCACGCTCCCAGTCATGCCACCCTACCCACGAACACGCAACATTTGAGCAGGTGCCACTCCTCCAGGGAAGGTGCTAACAAGGATGGGGGAGCGTGGCCCTGTTCCTTTTCCATGCACTGGGTTGCAGCTCAAGGCACAGGAGCAGCACCAGCTGAAAAGGTGGCAACCCTCCCTCGGCTTCTGCCAGGACAGTCCATAGGCGGAACCACTGCACAGGGAAGGCAAAATTTAGAACGACACCTGCAAGAAAAATGACCCATTGTTCTTGAAGCAGAGGAATGATCGAGTGGGGAACAAGGGTTGGGGACATCTGATGCATTACGGGATCTGCTTAAAGGCCCATCCGTTTCTCCGATCCTGGCGGGATTTGAGGGATGGATGGAGAATTGAAGGGGGAGCAAATGGCTAGCAATAAGCCATTGATCAGCTACAGGCGGGCTGGAGACAGGCTCTTAAAGGAAGGGGGAAAGGTGGGGAGAGGCTCTGCCCAGGTAGAGAGAGAGAAGCCGGAAGGGTTGTGGGAGGTACAGGGAAGGCAGAACGCAGGCAGCCCTGGCACAAGGGGCTGCTCGGGAGTGCAGGGCCTCCTTCAGCCCAAGGCCGAATCCTGTTCCCCAAAAGCTCTGGGGCCACATTCCAGTGCTGGCAGGCCAGGATAGTGAAAATGCCGGTCTTACTTTAGAGCTCTTGCTGCTGCACTTAAGCATTTGGAGAGATATTTCAACCTTTTAGTATGGGGGCAGTGGGGAGGAAAGACACAAGAACTGGGAAACTACCAAATGACCGATCCTTGCAGGAAAGGGGGCAGGGCCAGTGCCCTGAGGAGACCCAGAGGGCCAGGCCGGGAGACCCAGTGGGTCGGATTTGGTCCTCCAGCTTGAGCTTCCGTGTCTCCGTTCTATGAAAGCCTTGCCTCCTGCAGTGTGACATCTAAGGTAAGCCTCAAGGGCACGGTGCTGGGGACCATCCCTGCGATGGTCACGGTGGTCTCCCTCTTGGCCCGACCTACCTTGCACTGTTGTTCAGAAGACCAGCCTCCAGACAGGAATCATTGCAGCCTGAGTTTCTTGGCATGGGCAAAACATAGTCAAGTTCAGCATTAGCATTAACGACAGCATTAACTTTTTTTTTTTTTTTGGAAAGAGAGGCTGCGGCCCTGAAACATATCAAGTTCTAAGCCCAGGGTGACTGCCATAGGCACAGACTTTCTGCTTGAGCAACCAAAACCAATCCTTTGGACTTTTCTGAGATTAAGGACGCGGCTGCTCCGGGATGTGCTCTTTTTTTCCTTGCATGGAGGCAGCAGGTAGAGTGACTAGGTGTCCTATTTAAAGAAGAGAGGCATCTCTTTGAAGAGGTTGCCAGTCCAGATCTAACTGGAAGTAAAAGAGCCAAAAGGGGAGTTTAGAGCAGCAGGCGAGGAAGCCGCCCGTCCACAACAACAACCTCGGCATCATCAGACGGGGTAAACACACAAGAGCATTTAGTCAGTCCTTGCTACTATGCTGAGAGTTCTTACATTTCTCTCTAAATCATCCTTACTTCCGCTTTTCCCCCTTTGCAGATAAATTTGCATGTGCAAATATTGTGCAAAGTACAGGGTCCCTTTTTGATGACGTATAACTGGTCATGCCTGCTGGTGGTTCCTATCGCTTATGTGGCCTCCAAGGTTCACGCGTGGTGAAAGACACTCTGTCACATCAGGATCGGACTACCCCGTTCCACCACATCCGTGCACCACGACTCCAAGACACGTCTGCTTAACAGAGTGGCCCGTCTGCCCTTTGGAGAACTGACATGATGGCACCGCCTCCTTGCAGGGAACCTCTTGATGACTTAAGTTCAGACAACATGAGAATCCACATTCAGTGGGTGTTGTCGTTGAAATGTGGACTGCCAGCCAAGATAACAAGCCATGGCGCACAAGCCACAGTTCGCAGCCCAGCAACAAGCCATGGGTTCTCTTCATGGGTTGTTCATGGTTAACAAGCCACAGGGTTCAGACAATGCAATAACAATTACCCGTGGTGCAAGCACAACCCACATTCAACCCCTATTCGACCCGAGTGTGTTGTTTGAACCCAGTCAACATGTCTGGAGCTGTCTGGGCGCTGCAGCACTTCCTAATGCTAAGCAAGTATAGAAGGGTGGGCTTTGGCTCTACAGATCGCTGTCTTCAAACGAAACGGGCCAAGCTAATATTATACAGTATTTTTATGCTGCTCTTCTGCACAACCAGCACGCAGTCAACGCCACGAGCAAGGAAGCCACGAGCCTGGGCCAGACACTGCTCAGAAGGAAGGCATTCAACTCTCCCCGTCTTTTCTATCAAACACACACAACTGACTTCTGATTTTTTCATTTCTCTTCTTATTCCATCCCTCCCTCCCTTGGGGCCTGCTGTATCCAACCCATCCTTTGCCTTCCTGCTTCCCCCTTCTTTCTCCTCTATTTTTAGCCACCGACTCGTTTTTATTTTATATATATATATATATATAAATATCTCCCTCCCTTCTCTTCTTTCTAAACACTTCCTCCCTCCTTTCGGGAGCACCACACTCCCCCGAGCGTTATGACTTCATCCCGGCGCGGGCTGCAGGCAAGGAGAAATAAATCTTCATAAAGGCTGGGTTGTGATTAATCCGAGGGCCAAGGCTCGAGAGCGGGACCTTTCCCATTAGTGGATAATGGGAAGATGGAAAGCTCCTGTCGCCGCCACTAGCTGCCCGTCATTTGTTCCACTTTGCAGTCCATTTGGCGGGGAGAGTACAAGGCACTCCATCAAAAATATTTTCAGAGTTAATTTCCGTCCCTTAATCTGCTTGATTCTTATTTTGTATCGAATGGCAGAATCGATTTTCGTGGCGACTAAATTAAATAAGGGCTCTTTTCATGCATGGGGGAGCCCGGGAGCTAAGGGGAGAGGGGGAGAGTGCGCATGAGGAAGAATTAGAAAAGAGGAGAAGGGGAGGGGAAGATGCTCAGACACATGGAGGGATAAATAGGACCTGGGGGTGGAGGGAGGGGGAAAAGCCTAATTTCAAACCCATGAACCACCCTTTCCCCATCTGTCGGCATTCACACACCAAGGTGGGCTGAGATATATGCATTCACACAACCATCCGGTGCTTGTCCTTCTGGAAACATAGACTGGAGTCTGTCCTTCCTCTACTGACATTTTAAATTTAGCTTTGCAAGGACTGGGGGTGGTGAAAACGAAGAAAGTTAGACACTGCAGGCTGATTATGGTTATTATTTCCTCTTTTGTGGTAAGGCTGCTAACTTTTTGCACTGACCCTGTGCCTATGAGGTCGCTCTAAGCAGGCCAAGAGAGAACCTGAGCAATCTCGTATACATCCACTCGGAATTATGTCCCATTGAGTTCCATGGGTCTTACTCCCAGGAAATTTTCCAGAAAGTTGCCATGGAAGTAAAGCTTTCTCCACCCCTTTTCTCCATGCTAGGAAAAGCTTCAGCTCGCGCACACACACAAGCCAGAAAGCTATGAAAGAACCAGAGCAAAGCCAAAGAAGGGCAGCAGCCCTTCTTGGAATGTAATCAACTGGACACACATTTCTGATTTGGGAATGTCCCGGGGGGACATTATGGAGAGGTGGTGGATCTGAGCAGGGGCTTTCTCTGAGTGTCCGGAGCATATACTTTAACCCAGCCCTAATAAACGGCATGAAAGGTAGATGAGGAGAGCTCTCTCCCCCAGGATGTGACCGGAGGAGCAGAGAGGCCTGGGTCAGATCGAAAACAGAGGAAGAGACGGGTGGCGGGTGCCGTGGCTTAAGTGTGCAAGCAGGCATTTGCGGATGCGCCACTGCGTGCCCGCCGAGTGCGCATCAAGTGCAAGTGGCACTCACTGTCCCCTCTATCAGAGCCTTCCATGTTCATTTCATCCTCCATTCTTCTTCCGTTGTCAGACGAGCTCGGATCACCTCCCCCCCCTTCTCCTTGCCCACTCTGTGTGGCCCCACAGGGAGCACGGAGTGCCGTTCCCCTTCCTTCTGGATCACCATAACCCTTTTGCCCAGCCAGAGAGAGAGTTCATTTATTCAAGCTAGAGCCTGGCAATTCATTTATCTCTTTTTGCAGCTCTGACAGTTTGACATGCCTTTGGTTTCCACCGATACCACGCACCCTGGCCCAGCTCCCATTCATCCTCCAAGCCAGAATGTCTGCCAGAATGTCTAATAGGCCACAATCTATACCAGTCTTCCTCAGATTGGTGCCCTTCATTGTGCTGGACTGCAACTCCCATAATTCCCCCACCTGGGCCATGCCTTGCACTTCAAAAATCGTTCTGCACGTGTGATTTGCCATGGTTTAACAAAGCCATGGTGGGCAGCACTGATCACGCAAACAATCTACCTGTCTGTTAGATGATCAACAAATAGGGCTGGGACCAGGTTTACTCACACCCTGAACAGTCCAACTGAAACCACAAGGGACATAAATCTCACCAATTTCAGCGAGTCTGCTCTAAGTTAGGAATGGTAGAGAAATCTATTCCATTTGGATTTCAGTATGAGCTTAACAAATTTATATTTCTTGAATCCAAACATAACCAGTATGCAGTCAGATGTCAAATCCTTATTTTTTTTTTCAAGTTGGTAATGCAATTTGCAAGCAAAATCCAAAGAAAATCTGTACACATGAAACAGTATCTTGAAAAGTTGTGTACTCAAAGAGAAATGTACCCAATAACACATTAGTCACTTAAAATATGTACATTTGAGAAATACCAATAAACATGCACATAGTTTGAACACCATGCACACAATCCATATTTTTCTGCAGACTGGAAAGGAAAAAATATTCTCTAATGCAGCAAAGGGCCAGAAACAAACTTAGAAGTAGAAAATTGAGCGCCAGAGCAAAATTAGGTTTGACAGATTCACCCAGCCCTTCCCTAAATACGATTATGCCTGGGTCCACCCCATGGAGAGCATGGGAAAATAATTTCTCAGCCCACTATACTTTCTGAAATGGCTCTTTAAATATACAAATCCAACAGCAGCAAACTGCTTCTATTTGCATCATTTGGATGACCAACCAGCCTTCTCAAAATCTATATGAGCCGAGTCCAGAGTCCAAGGTGTGTGTGTGGGGGGGGGGGGGCGGGTGGGTGTGTGTATACAGAGACTGACCTACAAATATTGACAACTCCAGAACGCAGGGCAATAGTGATGGGCTTTTTGCTCTGAAACGGTGGCACTGCTCTTCTCCAGGAGGGGGAGAATTCCTGGACAGAAGAAATAGCCAGGGCGACTTCTTTTATATTTTATATTTATTTTATATTGTTAATTTTAATTTTATATTGTTATTTTTGTATTGTATTGTATTGTGTTGTGTTGTAAGCTGCCCCGAGGCTTCGGCAAGGGGCGGCATAGAAATGTTCTAATAAATAAATAAAATAAATAAATAAAATGCTGACTTCCAAGGAGAGCAAATTTTTGGTGAGCTGTCCCCCCACTCTTTCATGAGCGAGATTTTAACTGATAACTTTACATTTTCACTGTCCTGTATGGCAGCCTTCTCCAACTCCAGGTGATTTGAACTCCAAGCCACAGTGGGTGTGGGCTTGGGTGGACTCTGAGGGATGGTGGAGGACAGGAAGGCCTGGAGGAATATTATAAGATTGGTTGTGAGCGCTTTTTTAATCTCTGCCACGGCTGGCCGTGTGCTGCCTGCTCATCTCTCAGCCCTCGCTCCTCACTTGTAAAGCAGAAATATTAACGGCTTGCCTTTGAGCAGGTGAGCTTCTTCTGTGATTTGGCATTAAAATCCAGATCTGTAGTAGTCGCAAGGCAGAGCTGCATTTGTATGCCACGCAAGTTATCCGTGACACAAGCAGCGCTAGCAATGGCACACACAGTTACTTTCCCTGCATCTGTTTATTTTAATTGTCATGGGGTAAACCCAGGATCAGGCCTCAGGGCACAACAAGTAACTTGGCAAGGCAGCACCAGACCAGAGGTAGGACCAGAACCAGGTGCGAGTCAAGCGACAGCCAAAGGCAAGACTTGAATCAGGATCAGGACCATCAAGCAGCCACTGCTCAGACCTATATTATTCTGGCAAATATCTGTGTGTGTGTGTGTGTGTGTGTGTGTGTGTGTGTGTGTGTGTGTGAGAGAGAGAGAGAGAGAGAGAGAGAGAGAGAGAGAGAGAGAGAGAGAGTGTGTATGAGGAATATATACACAGATATATATATCTGTGAGGAAACGATAATATATAAGGAGTCTGAAGAAATCTAGGTTGTCACGGCTGGAACAGCATGAGGAAGATGGTTTGGGGTTAGCATCATGTAATGCAGGAGTGACAGAGCCCATTAAAAAGCCAGGTGTAGATCCAGCCAGGTGTAGATCCAGCCCAGGTGCCAATGCATGGAGCGATATGTCAGGGTACTTTTGACACTACCTTGGCAGCAGCCCAGGCTGGCACACAGGTCACCTGGTCACAGTACGCCCACTATGGTGAGAAGCGCTGCGTTTCTATTTAAATTACAGCACTTATTTCTGAATTTTCATTTACACAAGTTATTTAGCTTGTATGCAGTATGGTTTCCTCTTTTGCCCCCCTTTCTTGGTAATACCGCTTTTTTTTCTGCATTGTGTACCTGGCCACCTCAGTTACAGGTATGCTTGCACTAAGGTGGGTAAACTTTAATCAGTGAGTCAGAGGGAAATAACGTACAGAAGAAACACTGGCCAATCTCAAGACACATGTTGCCAATAGCACAAGCATTCTGGCCTTAGGCAAACCAATTAAACACGTGTGGAATGATTCATGGGTTTTAAAGAGAACCTCGTCCTGACCTAAGCTACAGAAACCAGCCTTTCTCCTCCCAATCTCCCGATGATGTCTCATTGCTCTGGAATGGCCTTTCTAGGCCCATGACTAGTTATCCTTGGAGCTCAAAACGATGGTTAATATTGTCATTTCTCATGTCAGATTTGTGGCCTCTTCTCCATAGAGAATGTCTGCTTTACAACAGCTCTTACCCAGAATCACACCTGCCCCGTTGTATCCATCTCACCTCCCAATTAATCACTTTCCACCTCTTCTCCTCCACCTTGACAACATTCCCTCCACCCAGGCAGTTGCCGTTTCCCTACCTTTCCCCCCACTGCTTCCCCGCCCTTCTAACTAAGTGTACATAACAGGCCACAGTAAACGCCACCCAGGTGATTTCTTTGCTTAAACACTTCTGGTCAACACAAAAGCCGAAGCTCCAGGTGGAAAAAAACCAAGTAAGTGGCAGCGGGGATCGGACATAGAAATATTCCCCAAATGCACTCCGGTGTTTGGGGTGGGGGGGGGGTGTGCAAATAATGGGGGTGGGGGCTTCATCAAGCTGTTCTGTGGTACCCTCCAAACCGCTGCGCACACCTCTGCATAGCAAATGCACGCACCTTTTCCCAGTTTTCCCATAGGAAACCTATTTCCACATCGCCCTACTAAGTCTTGAGGAAAACCCTTGTATGTTATTGGCGGGGGGGCGGGCAGATGGTCGCATTGGAGGATCGACTTTGTGTTTTACAAGAACCCCAAGATGCCCCAGGTGGAGCCTGGAGCCCGGCACAAAAGACATATACTTAATATTTAATAAATCCGAGCTAGAGGATTTGTTTGCAGTACCAGAACTGAGGAGCTCTGGAGCTCACAGTTTTTCACCCAAAAAATCTATTTCTGTTTACCCCAAGATTCCCCTTGTCAAGCAGTAGAATTTAGGGCAAAGAGGCAAGTCAATGTGTTGCTTTTGTTAAATATTTGGGAGCCAGAACTCCTTGCTGTACGACTGTGAACCAACTCAGAATCTACCTTCGATGTACACCTGCAGAGGTGAGCCGAACCTCATGACGGGTCTCAGAGTGACTTGAAGGATTGTTCCTGGTTGTTTAACAAGGGGAGCAGCGAAACAGCTCCCCATTCCTAGCAGCTTCTATAAATTATTCAGCTGAAACAAAGAAAGGAAGTGTGTTTTTGTACAGAAGGGCTGTGCGTTCCACCAAGTCCACCACTGAAAATAAACTCCTGAATACTGCATTCTGTAATTCCAAGTGCATGTCTTTTGCCCCAAGCTGCAGCTGGTGGATCTCACGGTTCAGGCAGACCTGCAGGCTGTCTGGAGAGGTTTCTGGGGCGTGCTTCGTTCACAGAGGTTGTGGGCTATGCATGGAGGGTTTCACAACTGTAGCCGATCCGCTGTTCACCCCCAGCTGCTACACACCGGAGGGTTATGAGCTGTGCTTGCCATTAGTGAAGAACCCATGATGAGGTTCCATGGAGGAAGCCTCAGCTATGGGTCCCTGGAAATTTGGGTCAGAGTTTGGATACCGCATCCTTGCTCTGCTGGCCCTCGATATTCTTTGCCTGCTGTCTGAAGCTGCTTTCTTCATTTTGTTGGCTTGTAAAACAGGAAGGCCATTGCGTTGGAGTTGCAACTGAGCAACGGGTGTTGGGCAGTGGAAACCAAACAATCCCCCACTCGGCTTCGTTTTCATGCAAAACATCTGAGTCAAAAGGGTGAAGAAGAGCGTTTGAGTGACGCCACATCAGCACGAAGTTCTTGGTCAGCTGAGAGCCAGTGTGGCAGAGCAGTGACAGTGTTGCCCTGCTGGGTGCTAGTTCCACAAGCCCCACAGTTCACAGGGTGAATTCAGTGGGGAGATTCAGGTCCCCCTCCGTTCGGCACTATTTAGGCCCCATCTCAAGTATTGTGTCCAGAAGGTTGGCTTGCGCGTGGCTTCCAGGTTCTGCAGAGCATCCAGGCAAAGCAGTCCCCATGGGGGTCCAGACCCATGGCAGCCCCTCCAAGGTGACGCCGGGTCACTTTGAAGGACTGTCCCTAGCTGTCAACACAGGGATTGTGAAAGCTGGCTTGACAGCTGCGTTTTGTGATCTCGGGGGTGTGGGGGAGGGGAGTTTAAAAAAAAAAGCTTATCGCATGCCTGAAAATTCCTTATGATCGTCAACCAGGTCCTCCTTGGACCTTGGAGGCAACTGGATGTGAGGGAGGAAGCAGACGGCCCATGGTGGGCCCCACTGTCTGCCAGGCACCGTGGCTGTTTTTCGCCCCACCGTGGTTTATTGCTAAGGTGGAGCGGCACAATTTGCAAATATGCCCATGGTGTCCACTTGACATCAAAGGCAGCACCCAGTCCAATGAATCGCTGGGTGCACGAGTAAGCTCATTGCATACATCTCTAAAAGGAGAACGATGATAGCCTGTTGAACATACTAGAAGTGTACAGTAAATTTGTTTAAAAATCATGTGGACTAGTCTCTTAAAAGTAACTTCCAGAGGCATGCATCCTGATCAGCCTGCCCTGTGCAGAAAGCTAGTTGCAATCGCCAGAAAACAAACTGTATTTCAAGCTGAAGCACATAACACCTGGAAGTAAGCTGTATTGAAATCAATGGGATTTACTTTCAAGTAAATGTTTTTAGGATTGGACTTCTAAGCTCATTGATTTCTGTGGAACCTGAGCACAGTTAAGTGTTTAATTCCCATTGATTTCAACAGGGCCTTCTCTCCCCTAAAGTCTTGGGGCACCTTGGAGGATAACTCATTTATTGTGGCCTGAGGTTTTTCCCACTATAAGGAGATACATCTTCATGAATCCACATCTGCTGAAATGAGGTTACCAGCTGAGCAATTAAAGGCAAGGTGGCCAGCACAACGGGAGGGGGAACACTAGCTAGCCCTTCCGTTCTCTCTTGAGTAGCGGTTCAGCTTGCAAAGATCCACAGGCCCATGACGTTAAATCTGATCACCTGCTAATTGTCACTGATGAAACCTCTCTGTCAAAGTGACAGCCCGGCCTGAGTCAAAAGCTGGCAACCCTATTTGGAATGCAGAACACCGGACAGGATACTGGGTTCAGTGGGCAGTACATGTAAATTCTATCTGGCAATTCTTGGGAGAAGTTTGTGGTGGGATGAAAAGGGAATCGAAGGCTTGAAATGCACCCGCTTGTCTCTGGTTGGGCACCACAATGCATTCTAAGCCATAAACTGGAGAACTACCGGATATTTTTGCTTAGAATTTAGCAACCTTTCTTTATTTGAGATGCTAATCCACCCTTATCAGTTGGAGCTTTTTCAGATGAGTGCAAATCACCTTTCAGCTGCATCGCTGGGCTGAGATCTGAGCAGACCTGAACGCTACAGAAATGGCATTCATTTTCCTGCTTTGCTCCTACAGAACCTCTAGGTGGCACTGTGACTAGCAGAATAGTGCAAATACACAAGAAGAAAGCGCGCTTTCTTTCTCTTTCCGAATTACATTCTGCATATTCTCCACTCGTAAAAGCAAATGAACATACTGCAAGTCTAGTTAGACAAAGAAATGCTGGTTAGACAGAGAAGAGAAACTGGGGAGGGGGTTAACATTATCTAAAGGGCATGTAAACAGCCATAAGTAAGTATGACAAGCTCACAATAAATTTCTCATGTAGAAAAGTTTCATGTGCCCATGAAATGTGTTGCATCACAAATCCTGCCACGCAAATCCCATCATGATTGGGGATGATGGGGGTTGTAGTCCAACACATCTGGAGAGGGCCAAGTTGGAGAAAGCTGCAACGTATAATGGAGGCTTTGAAGCACGGGAAGTTTTGACCTTGCTGCAGAAACTGTTCACAGGCTTTGAAGCTTAAAGACTGGCTCTTATGCCTACGCTGAGGCACTCAAAACTCATTACATCTACAGAGCCCATTCATTGCTTTTGTTCTAGGCCTGGTACAAACCTGCTTTCTCTGGAAAGGAAATTGCACTCACTTTATCAGCAAACAAAACTCCCGATAAGAACTAAAGGGCTGGATCCAACTTCTAGCCCCACCCTTCAGCTCTCCCCAGGGCTGCTGATCCCGCTGACTCCAGAGGAGTGACCCTGACTCAGCCATTCCCGTTCATGCACCCCATTTGCCCAAGAAAAATTCCAAGGGCTTCGCTTCTTTTCAACACAAAGGGCATTGGAAGCACAGGAAGGCTTTATCATGTTTGGCCTATCTACAAATATGGCTCCACCCTTTTCCTGTGACCATGAATGGTTTTGGTGGTTGCCCTGGTTTTGCACAGACTCGGGAGCGGGGGGTGGGGGGGAGTCCATTCTAAAAGTTTTGACAGCAATAGTGTCTTCCGGAGGGGCTGCCTGTAACTTTGTGAACTTGAAGAGCCTTCATAATTCTCCTGCAGGGCAAAAGACTTGCGGGGGTGGGGGGAGGCAATTTCTGCCCTCTAAGTCTTTTCCCCTCACAGGGTGAGGAGGACAGGCTGGGGCAGCTGTCCCATGGTATTCTGGCAGAACCTTTCTTCCTGCTTCCCATGGTATTCTGGCAGAACCTTTCTTCCTGCTTCCCATGGTATTCTGGCAGAACCTTTCTTCCTGCTTCCCAACCCACCAGAAGGCTCTCCGTCTTCAAGGTGGGTTGTCCAACCTTGGAACCTCAGCTGGTGCAGAGGGAACCCCACCTGCTACAAGGGTGGAGAAAGGGCATTCCAAATTCAGATCCCAGCTCCAACCTTGGAGTGTTTCCAGAGCTGGGACTCCACTCTCTCCTGTGACCATCTCGAAGATGCCTAGTTGTCATAGGGGTGCACCCTAAAAGTTTTAAGCAAAAATATGTGAACTTTTAGAATGTTTTGGCCCTGTCCCTTCAGGCCTGTCCATACTGGAATGCATTCTCCAAGAGTTCCTCTGAGATAGACTTTGTCCTTTGGGTTGAAAGAGATGCAGAGTCCCTTCCATTTCAAATTCTCCTTTGAGAAGTACCTCTAATCCATGATGTTTTCCACCCACCACACAGACTTCCTGCTAGTTGTGCCTCACCCAGTGCCTGTTCTTGCCTATCACTGGTATAAGCAAATACAGCAGACAGGAAAGGAACAGTCAACAATGTGTAAGGAAAGCCACTCCATTTGGCAACCTTTGCTAGAACAAAAATAGTGTTTCCTGGTCATATTAATTTGCCGTGAGGGTGTGACAGCGTCTTTCTCATGCTGTGGATTATTGTCCTCTCGGGGCGTTTTCTTACAATGCGCAGCTCGTGGCATTGTGTCAAGAAGGGCGTCTTTTTGGATTTTGCCTTTCCCTAACATTCTCGCTCAGACTGGCTGAATGCGAGGGGAATTGCTCTCCAGAATGGCCCTCGGAGAAAAGCTGGAGGGCTGGTCCACACGGACATGGTTTCTGCTACAAAGGAAGGGTGCTAAGGCCTTGCTCTGGCAAACGTGGGTGAACACAGCACAGAACAAACCAGCTGTCAGAGCAGGAAGCCCCACACAAGAGCAAGCAGCATCCCCCTCCAGCCCTAGCGGGATGCCACGAAGCAAAGGGAAGTTTTGAGGTGCCACGAGGATGGTAGCAGAGTAGAACTGAGCCAGGAAGCCCAGCCCACGGCGGACAAGGCCACCTGTGAATCACTGCTGGACAGGAGCAGAGAGCGTACCTGTTTGCATAACATGCGTGTGCTGATGTATATGCATAGATGCAAATGTATATATAAGCATTGCGGTTTAAATAGCGATAGAGCATAACTCACCATGGAGGAGCCACTGTCCTGATGATTCTTTATCCTTAAACTAGAAGTGGACAGATCAGCCTTTCAGAGAGGTGGCAGCTCTACAAAGAGAGGACTGGACTCGGTGAAGCAGTTCCACGCCGATCCTTTAAATGACAGGAGATGCACAAGAACACGGCCAGTCCTTTCAAGAAGCTTTGGGCTGCGCCAAGTACTTCCCCAGGGAGGGTACCCAGCTCTGTCCGGCAGGACTGGGGTTGAGTTGGATTTCCTGCCTTAGGCAATAATAGGGCCGTGAACGGACATGTGGAAATATGGCAGAAGGGAAGCCCCTGCCCTTCTTGCACTGATAAAATAGGCAGTGACATTTCGGGTGGCCTGGAGACAACTCTTACGACCTGCTCATGTCTGTGCATCGTGTTGACGTTAAAAGCAATGGAGCTGGTGAAAAGACCGGCATCCCAGGTCTCAGAATAATGACCGGCATCCCAGGTCGCAGAATAATGACCGGCATCCCAGGTCTCAGAATAATGGCATGGCCAACGGGGGCAGGTGAAGACAAGGGTGAGGGCTGGATGGTATGTCCTCCATGCCGTGTTGCACCAGGGGCTGGATCAGTGCTGGCAGATGGGCCTCCCGCCATCTTTTTTCTCCCCTTTCCAGCAGCTGACATGGCCTATCAGTCTGAGGTTATTGTCGATGCCCAGCCACAAGCCATGGGCACCAGCTACACCTTCAGCAGCCAGGGAAGCTGGAATTCCGACCTGTGCGACTGCTGCTCTGACATGGGCATTTGTGAGTAAGGGAGGGGGTGGCCGTGCACGGGAAGCGGAGGGGCTGCTGACGAGACGCCTGCCTGCCAGGCAGCTGGCACCGAATCCACTGGACGGGCCCCCCCAATTTCTCGATCATCCGTCTGTCACCACTGACTTTGCTCCACCTTCCTTGCTCAGAAAGGGGGGTGTTCTTCAAATTAACAGAAAGGGCCACCCCAGCAAAAGGGAGGGAGCGGGGTGAAGGGCCTCTTCAGTGGCGGTCCCCGTCATGGAGCAAGCGCCCCACGGAGGCCTGCCGGGTCCCAACTTTAGTACCTTTTCTGCAGCAGGTTAAGCCTGTCCTCTACCACAAGACATTTACTTCATTTGCTATTATACTGGGACTTTGTTAGCTGCTTAAACAGGTCTTACGATTTATTTTGTGTAAGTTATTGTACCTTTTAATATGGTTTTTAAATGTTTACATGCTAACCTTCTTATGATGTTTTTAATGCTGCTCATATTTTATGGGACTGCAGGTGGCACTATATTTTATAGTGATTTTTTATGTGATGTTGCAAACCTCCTGGGGTAACTGATACAATTTATAAAGCACACCAGGGCAGATTATACGGATTATACAGAGTGCAGGGTTCATATGACCTTTTATCAGGTCATGCAAACCCAGTCCTCATTGTCTGGCTTGGAAGAGTAGCTATGCATCCACTCTCCATGCTAGCCAAACCTGGTCCCCCATTTCAGAAGGACTGCAACCCACACATAAGGAAACTACGGGGGTGGTGGAAGTTTCAGGTCCATCATGCAGACCAGGCTTAAGACCCAAGGGGTGAGCATGAGGGATTGCAGAAGGTTGCCCCTCCTGAGTTTTTTTCACTGGTGCACCAAATGGGGGTGGATTGTATGCCACGCTTTTCCTTCCCTCTCCTCCAGGTCTCTGCGGAACGTTTGTGCCCTGTATCCTCGCGTGCCGCGTGTCGGAGCAGGCCAACGAATGCTGTTGCCTCCCGTTCCTGCCTGGTACCCTCATCGCCCTACGCACCGGAGTCCGTGAGAAATACCATATTGAGGTTGGAAGCACGGGAAGTCAAATACAGATTGAGTGCAGAGAGAGGCGTGGGGTTGCGATTTTGTGGGGGCTGCTCGGCTGGGGCAAAGCGAAGGCCCAGCCTGGGCTGATGGATACTTACCTGTCGAGTCAAAATCTGCCATTTGGCCTGCAAGTTTGGCCTTCAAGCTACATGGCCATTTCTTTCTTGAGAAATGGGATGAAGTGTTTTTTGGCACGGGAAAACAAAAGGGGCTCGTGGAACCTTAGTCTGTTAGGTGTCAAAAAACTCTGGTGTGTTTCACTGAAACAGATGAATACAGTTAAACTTCTGGCTACTACTAGAAACATGAGAGCAAGTCAGGCCATTTTTTCGGATTACCTGGAATTCTCTGGAGGATGGAACAGCAGAAAAAAAGGCCTTTTTTGTAGAGCCTGCATTTCAGAACACTTCACTGCCTGGCACTTAGATAATTCTCTTTTCAAGCAAAGCATACCTTATTTTCCCAGGCTCCCTGACCTTAGCACAGGTTTTAAATTAATATTTATTGCTGGGGAGAGTCAACAGATAGTCATCTGTCACATGACTGTAACATTTATATGGAATCTGTATAATCCAATGATAAATTGACCTCTGCACGTAACATATGGAAACATTACGGCACATTTAAAGATATTTGTACTTGTGAATCAAAATGTGTGAACTGCTGTCCTCAAAAACCATCCACCACACTGCTCTACCCTGTTGCCTGTCATGTGTATTGGACCACAACCATCAGGCCCAGCCAGTATATTCCTGTTGATGAGGTCTGCAGTCTAACACACCTGGAAGGTACTCAGAGAAAGCGGCTACACCCTTGATTTACAAGACCCCATCCAAGTGAACCCATCAATGACCAAGGAGGTTGTCCCTTGTCCCAAACAGAGGTTGTTCTTACCTGTTTTCTGGGGCTGAGCAAGCACTCCGCCTTCTCCCATTTCAGCCTGGCTTTCTTTTCTACCCAGGGTTCCATCCTGGAAGACTGGATGGTCATGAGTTGCTGTCCACTCTGTGGTCTTTGCCAACTTGCTCGAGAACTGAACCAGAGGAACTGAAAAGGAAAGGAAGGGAAGGCAGCCAATCTTCCCTCATGCAAAGGGGGAGCAGTGCTAGCTGGATAAATGGCTGGTTTCTGGACACGGAAGCACAGAACTGCAACCAGAAGACCTGTCATCCTTGCAGGGGGAAGCATCTAATGAGATGGAAACTCTCTTCTTAGTCACATTCTACTTTGATATTCATGTCCCAATAAAATAATATTTGTCTAAATCTATATTAGTTCTTTGGCATCTTCTTGAAATTGGGGCAGAAACAGCACCAGAGCTGATGTGGTCCGCTGAACCAGCTTAAAACCCCGTGCCCAGCGGGCCTGTTCTGTGTGCTGGCATGCAGAAATCAGTGGATGAAGGTTTTCACAGCATGAGGCCAACATCAGGAACAACCAGAAAACGTGCTTTACTTGCCAAAGATTTCAGGTTGGTCCCTGGATTCTCCAGTTAAAAGAACAAGGTAGGAGGTGAGGGAAAGTCCTCTGTTAGTGAGCTATTACTAATAAAAATAAGCAACCACGGTGTGGTGGAGTGGGAAAGTAGCATTAGGCAGGTCTTCTTTTCTCCTTCCAGAACCGGAGCCACTTGTAGCTGGAAAAACAATCCATAAAGTATTGTGTTCTCAAGCCATGTTGGGCTTCACAGATTAAAATCTTCACCCTTACAGAGGGGGATAATGACTATTTGTCTAAATCTCAGCTGACCATGACAAAGGGACCAATTCAAGTCCCCACCTTCAGATCACTACCCCCATGCCCAAGTGAAAAAAATAGAGAGCATGCCTGCTACGTGTTAAGCCCCAGGACATAATGGGGCAGCCCCATGACTGTCATGGAGTCCATGAAATCCTGAACCGCCCCAGATAAAGGGCTCTCGGCATGGACATTAGTGACCGCCAAATCCAAGAACCCAGCTGACCTCAGCATTCCGGGTGAGATGCATTCCAGGTGAGATTTGTCTGCTCAGGCAAGGAAACTGTTGGGCCCATTAGTTTGTCTTTCCGTTGGGACAGCCCTTTGCATATACTAGAATATAAAAGAAAAGCAGAATATAAATTTCCTAAAAGAGCAGCTATGGATTTTCCTTGCGAGTGCAGCAATGTCACGATGACAGTTCTGAGATCTGTATGGGCCTCGAAGGACCAATAATCATTGGGCAGAAGCCTAAGGAAGCTTAGAAAGAAAAAAAATCATTCACCTTCCAGCATGTCCCAGGTATTGTAGGGAATGGCTGGAGGGGAATGCTGAAAGCTGTCAGACTTTTTCTGTCTAAGCACACATAAAATTGGACTTTTGCCTACTATAGGGTCGCTTCTAAAGCCTGCAGATCAAATAGCTGTTAAAGAACAGCTGCAAAGGCTCGCTGTAAAGCTGGCGATTCTAGGAAGGCCATGTCCACAGGACCAACAGAAACTGGTTTCAAGTCCCACCAGGGGAATCTGCATTTGCATGAAGCGTTTGAGCCATGCTGATACTGTGCCCCAAAATGTGATTAAAAAGGTATGATACCTATTAGAAAGTTGTGCCCAGGAAAGAGCAGCAGCACCGTTTTGGGGAAGTCAATGGACACACTAGCTGGGGATGATGAGAACTACAGTTCCACGCATCTGGAGGGCACCGCGTTGGCAGAGGCTGTAAGGAGGTATAACAAGAAAACAGCTCCTTCCTTAGAACAGTAAGCCCCGCGCTGCGGGTTGTAATCCGATGCATGCTGGGAATTGTAGTTGGAGAGCTTCGGGCCTGGGGGAGACTGGCTGCTCTAGCCAACCCTGGAACGGCATCCTCCAGCATTAGGTAAAAAGTTCCTACAGACAAAGCAAACGCATATTATCTGGAAGGGATTTATAAATGCCTGTGTCGGCGGCGGGTGGAACTGTGTAAAGACTGCATTTCCCAGCACGCCCTGCGCCTGGGAAGGTTAAACATCCCCACTGCTCCCCGCCCTCTGGTGCCACGCAGACAGATCGCTTCCGGTGGGGAGCTGGACCAGATTCCGAAGGAGGCAGGTGAGCGAGGTTCTGTTGCCAGGGGTAACCCGGGATGCAGGGGAGAGCATCCTCGGCGCTTGTTCCGCTCTGCGCTGAAGCCCTTCTGGAAGGAAGAAGCCCGCGGGGTGCGGGAGGGCCTGTCGCCGCCCTTTCACTGGCCTCTTCCTGCCCTGCTTCCCCAAGAGCTGCTGAGCGGGGTGGGGGCCATGCCCGGTGCGCTCTGCGCTCTGGCTAGGCGTTAGGCTTGGGAGCACGCCCTGGTCTGGTGGCAACCTGGCATCCGCGCCCCACTGGCTGAAATAAAGGTCCAGGGGCCCTGATGCTTGTAACTGCTCCCCCAGGACAAGCTGGCCTTTTGCCCACATCTGCGTCATCTCCGTCTGTGCCGTCCCACCTTCAGCCTTTTCAGCCAGAGGGTTTCAGCCCGAGATCTCTTTTGGTACCCAAAACCACAGCCCTGGGGGGATCAGGCCAAGTTCCCGTTTATTCAGCATCCCGTTTCCAGCAGTGGGCAGAGGAATGCTTTGAGGAAGCCAGGAAGCAGGAGATGAAATTAACAGCCTTCCCCTATTTGTGTTTCTGCCTACAACCATCATCTGTTACTCAGAGCAGGGATGGGGGCCGTGTGGCTCTTCAGATGTTGTTGGACTTCCATTCCCAACAGGCTTAGTCAGGGTAGACAGTGATGAGGGGATGATGGACACTGCGGTCCAACAACATCTGGAAGATCACGTGTTCTGATCTAGAGGCATATAATCTCTGAATAGGGCGGTTCCAATTAACCGAAAGCTGCTAATGGATGTCTCCACTATGATTTGTATAAACCTTCAATTTAGGCCACTGGTGGACAGAAGGTATATCTGGAACTGATGGGATTTTTCATTTGCTGTTGCTTAACAGTAGCAGCAAATGACCCTCATCCATTCCCTTCCCTCCCAGTTAAAATTATACTGCTAAAATGAAGAAGAACTGTGGTAACCAGGAGTGGTTTTCTTAGTAGAAGGGTTATGTGCTTCTTTTGGTTTTGGTACTTGGAAGAAAGTCCTGGGCTTTAAATTTGTTAATTCTGATGTGTGTATGTTATATCGGGCCCTGGATGATGACTTTAGTAAAAATCAAAATAGATCTGACAGACATGACATCTCCCCCGCCTAATCTAGGCTGGAATTTGAGCCCAGATCTTTTCTCCCAACATGTAAGCATTGCAGTCCATTGGACACTGTGTAGTGTGAACCCAAAATTAAGGAAAGCAAGTTGTATTGTCAATAATATGACAGAAACCATTATGAGTTTCATTTGATGTAGCCACTCAATGTTTGATCAACTAGGAACTTTTCTCATTCCACTTGGCACTTGTTTACACCCACACATTCTTCTGTACAGGATGCATTTGTTTGCGCAGTTGAAGGTGGAATTATATCTGCCTGGTTGGCAGTTGCTGGCTAGAATTAAACGTACATGTTTCCCTTCTGGAAAGTAAAATTTCTTGCTGTTGAATAAATGTCAGGGAACTTTTGGGTGGGAAAGTGGAGTGTGCAAAAGAAGATAAGATGTCAAAAAACTTCACATTCATGCCTCGGTTATTGTTGGGTTATCTACAGAAAATGGGGCGCAAGAGGTGGAGGTACATACAAACAACAACTCTTATGGCAAGGATGGGAATATACTGCAGTTCTCCACTAGCACAGAAAAAGGTCACACTATTGGCTATTTTATTCTTTTGTTTGTTTATTTCTAGTCCTTATGGATATATGTTTAATGCTATGTCTGGTGAAATTGCTAAAGGGCTGCTGATTAAAGTTTCTAAGAGGCAGTGGGCATCAATTTCCTAGATAGGTTGGGGAATCACATCTTTCAGTGTTCCTCTCTGTCCCGGAATGGGGAAAATAAGGCCAAAATTCTGTGTAAGTAGAAAACTCAGAAGTAGGCTGACTTAGAATCATTAGCTCTGATGTGCTAGATTTTAAATATATATATTTATGGGGGAAGGGGGTGTTTGAAGGAATACTGAAAGAATTGCCCTGACATTCTTGATTTACAGCTTCACAATCTCACTTCTGCTACTTCAGGATGTAACCTCATTTCGCAGCATGTGAGGATGCATCCAATGGGAAATCCAAAAAACATAGGGGAATGATGACAGTTATCCTCACTTCCTGGCAGGGAATACCTGATCAGTGAGCTTATCAGGCGTTTTCATGCACGGTCTGGTAAATTTTTACTTGATAAATGGTTGTCCTTATTCAGCCTGTGCTTACGGCAGAAGACAACATTGAAGGAAGCTACTCTGGAGCATTTAAACGAACCAATGTCTCTGGACAAGCACAGTTTGGCATTTGTGGTAGTCTCTTCCCCCTCGCCTCTGCACTGCAGCCTCCCGCGGTTTGTACACGGCCGTCCCACATCTCTCTCTCACTCCCCCCCCACATCTGTCTGCAGCTGCTCGACCGCGCCTGAAGCACAATGTCTGGCAAAACAGGGCCGGAGCATCTCTTCAACCCAGCCACCGAGATGGAGGCATCTGGCACTATGCTAGGCACCAAGTAAGGGGAGCCCGCTTTGCTGCAGTGGGAGGGGTGGTGGGGGCTCAGTGGTGGATGCATTTTTTCGTGGGGGGGCTTCTGGCCTTGTGCCCTCTCTCACTCCCCTACTCTTCTCACCTTGCGTGCTTCCAGGATCAACATCCCGGCTCTTTTGCCCCAAGGCCCAGCTAAGGAGTGGCTGGAACAGCGCAGGGCCACCATCCGGCCCTGGACCAACTTCCTTGACCAGCGGCGATTTGGGAAGCCCCGGAACTTCGGGGAGCTTTGCAAGCGGCTTGTACGCAACGTAGAATATTTCCAGAGCAACTATGTCTTCGTCTTCTTGGGACTCATTGTCTATTGCCTGTGAGTGGTTTTTGTGTTGTCATTATTGAGGACATGGGGGAGAGACCCTCCAAACTGCACTGAAGACATGACGCAGGTGTCAGGTGCCAGGCAGTGCTGGGACCTTTAACCAGGTTGCAGGAAGGACGACCTTGTGGGAGAGAACAGTGCAGTGGCCACATTTGCTAAAGACATCAAATGCTTTAGGTTGATTAAACCCAAAAGGGATTGTGGGAAGCTCCACAGGCGCTCTCGAAAATAGAAAAACAAGCAGGGAAGTGGCAAAGGCATTTCAGTGTCAGCAGGTGTCAGCAGCTGGAGGGGGAAAAAATCCCAACCTCGCATGTAAATTGATGGGATCTGGGCTAGTGATGACTGACCAAGAAGAAGATCGTGGGGTGTGGTGGGCAGCTCCGTGGAAACGTCACCCCCAGAGGAGGCTCCTGTGCAAAGGGGACATTCCCTGTTAGCAAGGCCCGTCCCGGCTGGAGGGAAATTGGCACAGTAGTCAAACTTATCTGGAGAGTAAGGTTATTGCAAGTTGCACTAGTTTTTTTGCAGATCTTCATGCATTTATTTTTGTGCATGGTGATGTCTCAAGACTCACAGCACTTTTACTGTTTTAGCCTTGATTACCAAGAATTAGGGAGACGGTTGGATTGCTGCCCCATGTTGCTTCTAGATCCATCTAACCTCCAGGTGTTAATTCTTACCTGTTAGCATCACATCTCCACTGCTCCTGATTGCACTGGCTGTCTACTTCGGGGCCTGTTACATTATCTACTTGAAGACCCAGCAGTCACAGCTTGTTATCTTTGGTAAGCAGAGGGAAGCTGCAAGTCCACAGGATGTTTGATAGACGTAGTCGGTTGTAATCTCTATATGGATGAAATGAGAGCACAACAGCAAAGCCGTACTAACCAGGATACCAACCTGAAGCTCAGAATCATGGTACACAGCCAAACACTTAACACAGCCTTCCTAGGACATATACCGTGTCTTGTAATTTGAATCTCCATTTTTCCACATAATTCTCCCCAGTTCCCTGGATGAAGAAAACTAGCACAAGGGGGAGAAGGCGAGGTTAGAACCTGGATATGCTCGCTTTCCATATTTCTTCATTGCTGTAGGCTCATGCAGTTCTGCATTTCATCCCGAAAGGATACAGTCTCAGCTTTTCTGAATATACCAATTAAAACTTAGACTGCTGAGTTACAAGTGAAAGTAGCAATGATTAATTTTCAGAGTTGAAGAGAAAGCCACCAGCCCCTTGGACTGCAAAGAATCTCAGCACAGAGCTGTGTTTTTAAATCTGCCACTGAACAGCCCAATAACCAACCTAACACCAGAATGCATGAAATGCAGTCAGTGGTCCTGCAACAGCAGTCCATAAAAGTGAATTCACTGAAAACTGTGAAAAGCAATGAGGTGCAATGGGAAAGGGATGGAGAAGATGGCTCCTCAAACATTAGATAACACATGCACTGTACTGTGCTCTGACCTCTCTTGGCCATGAGGTCTGGACACCCCTCTCCTTAAATCTGTCCTTTCTGTGGCATTGAACAGCTCCCAAAACTCTCTTAACTGGATGTTGCAGTTCCCAACAGTAGCCACCAGATGGCGTTGCACCAACATGAATGGTGCAGATGGTTTCTTAGCTGTTAGTTCTCACTGGCCTCTATCCCTGGCCCGTGGCTTCTGGGCTACAGAAAGCTGGACCGCTTGTACTGATTTGAAGCAAGCAGGCAAGACACTGGCCTTTGGTCCTGTGATCACTTTTTCCAGCCGACTGAGGTTTCTCTCTTTGCTTCAAGAGCCCGTTTGAGTGCCAATACTCTGTTTTCTAACCCCTTTTCTTTTTCTTCAGGGCGGGAGCTCAGCACAGCCCATCAGTATGGCCTGGCTGGGTGTGTCTCCTTTCCCTTCTTCTGGCTGGCAGGAGCTGGCTCAGTTGTCTTTTGGCTGCTGGGTGAGTAAATAGAGCATCTACATAGTAACAACAGTAGTTCTTCTACTCCTGGGACAGAAACTACGGTTTTTGTGGCATGTTCACACAACCAAGAACCCAGGCTGTTAAGTGTTGCTATGGGAAAATATTTCTCCCTTTTTTGCTGCTCGGGTTTGTATGACAAATGGACTGATAATCCATTCCACTGGGTATTTGAATTTCCATCAGTGCAAGCCACGTAGCACTCTCTGTCTGTGTGTGTGTGTGTGTGTGTGTGTGTGTCAGTGATGTTCTACAGCTAGAAAAGCAACACCCTGTGAGGTACTTTATGATGCAAATTCGGTCAGTTTGCACATTTCCTTTTTGTCCACTTCGTTCTACTTCTGCAGCTAGTCCAGTAGAGTGTCTAAGCCCTTTAAATCTATAATCTCTGTTACACATGTGATCAAAAGCTTACATGATACATTACAAGGGGTAAAGAATTCCAGAAGGCACTAAAACTTCTCCATGGAAAACAGTTGCAGTAATTTGAGTTGGCTGGAGAACGGCACTGGCATGCGCATCAGTTTTCCTCAGAGGAAGTATGTGGCTTATTCCGGGAACGTTCAGTTTTATAGTTCTTTTACTTTCCATTGGCTAGACTTCACCACTGTTAGCTATTTCATTGCACACACCTTAGAATTCAGATGATGGGCTTGCGGGTAAGCCCATTATCAGGCTTGCAAATTGAGGTCATTCTGCTTTCTTGCTCAGCTTTCTTGGAGATAGAAGTGAGCTGCTCTAGCAATCAAGAGAAACCTTAGTATTGCTTGAGAAGGGCAGAAGACCAAGGTATACTGCCCATAAGTCTGTGAGAATCCAAACCACCAGGGTATCCAACTATCAATTATTTGTGATCACAACGCCACATTTGATCCACTTACTGTTTTCAATAAATTTGGTCAGTTTTGCTCCATTTGTCCACTGGCTTATTAGATTGTATTATTAGATCCCTCAGAAAATACACAAATGTTCAACAAAGAAAAAAAGTGCCGAGTGCAAAGGCTGTGATGAATTGTTACTCCCATAAAGCACAGAGTTTGTCATTAAAAAGGAAGAGAAAGAAAATATTTTATAGTGTGTTAACCTGTAACTAATGATCAATCACAGCTATATTTAAATGTAAAACACTGAAAATGCAAAGCCCTAATTCAAATGGCATCTCCAAACTATAGTGCAGAAAGTCCTAGGATAGCAGACCGACCAGGGCAAGCCCAAATATAAGCAAAAGTGCAAAATAAGAGTCCGCATTTGGTGCCAGTAGTTGCAAAGGGCCTTCCTCCACCACACCAGGGAACGAATCATGCCCCAAACCCTCCATTTAAGAGCCCTTCCTTATTTGCATGGAGGATCTCAGTAGCTAAAGGCATAACAGGAAAAAATCTGTTAGTGCCACAGGCCCAAGAGTGCGGGACTGGATTGGGGTGCATGGCCCTCACCATGACCTGGCATCCATGGGAAATCCGGGACCGCCGGAGCTGCCGCACACATACAGTGCGGTGTTGTCCCTCCCTGAAAAACAAGGTATATCTCACCTTACTTCCACTGTAAAATACTTAAAGCCCTTGATGGCTTTCCATTACACCCCACTTCATGTAAATCTATTCTTTCTTGGCTGCCTTCTGTCCCCTTTTCAAGCCAAGATACCCAAGCAAATAGCAGAGGAAAGAGACTCACGCCACTGTGGAAGCGAGGAGCTCTGATGGAGGTATCTAACGAGGCATCTTTCTCCCTCTTCTCCCTCCAGGTGCCACTTTGGTAGTTATCGGTTCCCATGCAGCCTTCCATGAACTGGAGTCTGGAGAAACTGATGAGCTGCAAATGGAGCCTGTCTGAAGGACCCAGAGAACATCAGCTCTCCTCTCCTGCCTGGTTATTCACCATGTTTTCTCCACCCGTTTCACTGTTACATTGCCACCATTTCATTCAATGTCTCTGTGCCATTTCCTCTTCCTAAGGCTTCCTCCAAGAAAGGGGGTCTTTAAATCCCCCAGAACAGTCCCTGAAGCTCTCCTTCTCAGGCTGCCCCAATCTCCCCATTTTAGTGTACTGTCGCTTCTCAGAATTTGCAGCTCCCTTGCACTTGGGTTTTCGAGTCTGAAACAGGCTAGAATGCTGCATTAAGGGCCTCCCTTTTTTCTGGAAAGCTTAGCTCCCTCCAAGAGCCAAGCCTAGGGAAACTCCAGAAATCTCAATTCACCTTCCTTTTTCTCTTATCAGTAACATTAAACAAATAAAAGTGTGAACGTGGAGTATTCCTTTGTACTGCCCCAAAAGATCACAGTGACGCATGATGGTGCAGTGTCTGAAAAACTTGAGGATGCGCGCAGAGCGGCTCAGGCATGTTTGTGTCCTGGATCGCTTGCAGCGACCAGCAGAAATGGGTCTGGAATGAAGTAACACGGGCCTGCTGCATCACTGCCGCATTTGCCTGCTGGAGGTTTTATCAGAAATCAAAAACCATTGAAGTGCACAATTGGAAGAAATTACATCTGTACACGTGCCCCATGTACAGTAAATTAACCCCATTCTTCATGGTTTGATCTGTTTTTGATCTAGCCAAACAGCCAAAATAATTTGGTTAGTTTCGTCATAGACATGGCTGACCTAAGACACTTTGGTAGCTGAGATAACAAATCCAAATAGCTACACTGTCCGGTCTTTTGTGCAAACTTTACCAAAATGTACTGGAGCTGATATGCTTTTTCCCCATTGGGCAACATTATTGCAAAAATACTTAGGCCTCTGTATGTGTTTCCATCCTCCAGTAACTAGGATCAGCAGTCACAACTTCACAAAGCATTTTTGATTATCTATTGCCTTACCTGTTTTAATTGTTTACTCTTTCTCAGCCATTCTTTCTCTACTTGGAAATGATTAGGACTATTAAGACTGGTGTTCACAAGTGACCAGTGTTCTGGGAGCAGTTAATAAATTCCAGATTAAATCATGCCACTGTTCTGTTCATTTCAACAGACTTTCTCCAGAACTTCCCAGTGGACTGTGGCCCATGGGTCCCCTGTGTGCCTTGATTTAAATTGCACAGAGAGATAATTGCGCTCACTTGCTCTCGCTCTCCCTCTCACACACACACAGAGATGAAGCAGCTTGTTTTCTGTTGCTCCAGCAGGCAGAAAGCCTAGACCAAAGAGTTCGAATTAGAAGAATGTGTGAACAGGATGGCACAAGCTGCTCCAGAAGCTGATGGACCATCATCCAAAGTGGTTTTTAAGATGGACCAGACTGCCGCCTCTCAGTAGGGAGTCTCCTGACCTTTGAAGTCCCTTCCAACTCTGGTTTTCTCATATGACTGGAAGGCTGGGGAACGACTGTTGCCCTCGCACTCCTCTTGTAAGGTTCCTGCAAACGTCCACCTGACCTTCTTAAAACATTCATAGACCAAATCTTTGTTTTGAGATAAGTACTGAGCCACGTTTCCCTGCTTTAAATGCGAAAGGGGCACGAGAACCAGCTGTCTGATTTTAAAAGGAAAAAGATCAGGGTGGGCAGATGTATTGTTCCTATCTCTGTTGGCTTGTTACATTTATGTTCCTCTGTTCCTCCAAGGAGCTCAAATAGAAGGTATATGGCTCTCTCCCCAACCTCTCACCCAAAATCATCTGCCAAGCTTCATGGCTGAAAGAGAATTTGAATCCCGGTCCTTGTCCAACGTTCCAACCTGGCTTTGAATGCCAAGAAGCAGGCATCAGCGCCTCTTCTTCAAGCCCTCTGCATGCAAGACTCTCAACACACCCTTCCCTCCAGGTGAGTCTGTCTTCACCTGTTCTGCCGCTCTGTTCAGCAACCAAACAGCATCCTGCTCTTGCCAGATGCTCTGATGGGACTGGGAGCTCCATGGCTGGACTGACACTGACGTGGCCATGCAAAAACTTGTCTCCAAACGGAGTTTTTGGCACAAGGCCCTAGTCACATGGGGCAGCAACAGGCTGCAGCTTCCCCAGTGCCACCTCGCCACCAAAGGAGGAGAGCCACCCTCTCTCAATGTCCAGGTTGGCTCCACCACCAATCCCAGGGGGACGGGGACCATCGGTAGGCATCTCGGGGCCGGGTGGGCTCCCCGCCCTGCACCTGCGCCTTCCACACACAAGCTGAGCAGGTGAGGCTTTTCCCTGGTCTTGAGCTGAGGCAGGTGCCAAACACCATCGGGTGAATTTGTGCTGGTTGTCACAAGAGCGCCCACGAAGGTCCTCACGGGGGAAGCATAACGGAAGCATCTGAAGCCCCTTTGTGCTTGTGCCGAAGGATGAGCCTGCTGAGCGATTTCTTAAATCAGAGCACTCTGAATGTCACAGTTTGGATCTGTGCACTGCATGAAGCAAACAGCAAATTTAGGCAGCCTTCTGCAGGCCAGAGCCCGCCACACGTGCTGGACTACAGCTCCCATCAGGCTGGCCTGGGAGTGTCATCCAGCACACTGGAAGGACACTGGGCTGGGGGGGGGGGCGTTGGCTTGGCATCTTAATGCGATTTTTATGGACTTGCACAATCGCCATGAATACACAGAGGCAGGGGCTTTGCAACTCCAGCAATCCCCAAACTGAATACTGTGATTAATCGCCCCTGTGAACGTCAGCACATGCAGGCATGCATGCGCACACACGCGCACACACCCATCGCCCCCGCCTTCCAAGGGACCGCACACAATCCGCCCGTGGAGTTTGCGGTTCCGGCTCTTTCCTCCTCCCGGCAGCCCCCCCAGTGGGAGTCGCCACTCCTTGCCTCAGCTGTGCCTGCCGTTGTCCACCCCTCTGAGGCGGCTGCCTGTTCTTTGTGGTGCTCAGAGGGAAAGACTCGTTCTGCGGGAAAAGGGCCTCGGAAGCTGGGAGACGCTGCAGCCCAGATGCTGCCCACGCATTATTATTATTATATTATTATCAGAACATTTCTATGCATGGCCTTCATCAGATCGCACGACAGAAAGCTTGGGGTGATTGCGGGCATTTCCACCCGTGACTTGGAAGGACCGCAGTGGCTTGCTAAAAGGACGCAACTGAACTTTCTACCTTTGGTCTTATTTCCATGGCAAGAAGAACTTTAGGAGTGAAGGACATGGCATGTTTGGTGGCTGTTAAAAAGGCAGAGGGACTCTGGCCAGGACATAAGCTGGCAACTATGGCGGGACAGGGAGAGCCTTCTCTAGACAGCAAGAGGAACACCCCTTGGCTCTTACGTGATTTTCTGGGAGACGGCTGCCTCCCTTGGCACCTGGAACTGCTTTGTCACCATGGCAATATGCTCCTGCCTCCATCCTTCTGTTGCCTTGGCGATGACCTCCTCCTCCTCGCCGCTCCACCCCACCCCTCTGGAGCCTGATGGAAAAAACAATCCAATTAAACGAGCTGCATGGTCAAGCAGCATCTTCCGAGGTGAAGGACAGTGCCAGCCCAGAAGGGGTGGTGCTGAGCACCATGCTGGAGGCGCAAAACCGGGCCCTGGAGAGGATGGAGGCGTGCAGGAGTCCCAAGACAAGGCCTTTTACATCCCTCCCTCCCACACCATTTCTTACGGTGCTGCCTTCCGCAGTGCTGTGACGTGATCCTTGGCCGAATTCAAAACAACAAATCCAAATGCGGCGGGATCCAAAGTGACTCTCCACCACTGCCTCAGAGTTTGGCCAGTGGAGTGACTGGCCATTTCGGCCATGGAGTGGTCAGTGCTTCTGTGCGTGTGAGCGAGAGAGGGAGCAAACACGCCCTTCCTCGCTTCAAATGTCATGTAGTCTGGTTGAAAAATAAGCACGAATCCCAGTGCTGAACTTTTTGGTTTGGCCAACACTTTAACTCCACCAGCAGCGCCCCCAGGTCAGATACATACCCAAATGCTACTTAAACAGCATTTCCCCCCAGTGTGAGTTCCCCTTTCTGCTTCCTGCCTCGGCCATAAGCCTTATCCCTGTTGTGGTGTGGCTGATGGGCCTTGAAACACATTGATCCGCCTTTTGGATCGAGGCAAGAAATACAGATAAGTCTTTTTCTCAGAGCTAATGGACACATTATGCAGAAAAATGCAAAAGGATGTAGAAGAATTCAGGACCACTCCTCTTCAGAAGTGCATCCCCTCCTGTTTTAAACACCCCCGAGGTATGAATTTGTTCATCTTGAAGAGAGGGGAGGTACTCTCAACCTTCTTGAAATGCTAGTTTTGTGCATTTAGGGCTCAGTTTTAACAGTGGGTTGCACTCAAAAACATACAATCTTCAGCCCCCATTCTGAAATTTTAGCCCCTCCTCTTGGCATCCCTTTCTGGGAAATGGGGAGAGGGGCTCTTACACACAAGGCACGCACAGACCAAAGGAGGCTCCCGCATCTCTCATATTAAATATTCCACTTCTGGTTTGTTTTTGTTTTTTATTTGTTAAATCGTTTTTGTTTTCCTTGTTTTGGTTGGTTCACACGACAACACAATCCCGAAATGGGAAGGGGAGATGGGACAGGACAGAATACACCTCCCCCCACATGGCCCCTTCATGTCCCCCCTCCCCTCCCCAGACAAAGAAAATCGGGGCCAAGGTGGAGAGAAGAGCAGGAGGCGATGTCACCACCTGCCTCCGCCAGGTGCCAGCGCGGCCCCTCCTCCCCCCCCACCAGGGCCGATGAGGAAGGGCACGGTTTCTCCTGGAGGGGGGCTATGGCTGAGGTCTGCCCTGCTCTGCAGTGGGTGATGGTCCAGGACACGGGGGATGGCTGACTGACGGGAGAGGGTGGTGTTAAGCACCAGGGGGACACAGCCAGGAAGACCCCTCAGGAGGTTCGCTTGGAGTGGGAGGGTGACGATGGCCCGGCCCCCCGGTTTGCACACACAGTGGGAGGGGTGGGAAGAAGCTGCCGTCTTGGCCCTAGGAGAGCAATCTACATGCAGCGGGGGGGGGGGGACTCCAAGTGGCTGGGCTTGGGGTCTGCCTCTGGCAGGCTCAGAGCCCGGGGAGAAGGGGGCGCGGAGGCCGTGGGAAGTGGGGCGACAAGACCTGGCGCGTCCTGGTCTCGCTGGGTTCTTTCCCCGTTGTGCTCAAACACCACCCTTCACATATCAAAATGCAGGCTGGGCAGGGGGGCTACCCCATAGCTGGCCTTGGTTTCCCTCCCTTGCACACATGTACACACACGCAACCACACACGCACGCACGCACACGCACTCCCCACAAGAGGGAGGGAGGGAGAAAAGGGGGAATGATTCGAGAAGGGGGAGCAGAAGGGGTGCATTTCCCCAAATCGGGACAAAAGTCTCACTACGGCTAACCAGGTAACAGAAACCACCCCCATCTCCCAAATCCGGACCTGCCTGGCTCACACGTCCGAGGCGGGTGGCTCTGGGGTGCTGCTGGTCCCCAGGTTCAATCCCAGCTATGGAAGGGAATTTGAAGTGGCAGGGGCCGGGGGAGGTGTGTTTTGCAGAGGTAAATAATTTCCCCGATTTGATCTTCACGATGCCCCCTCTTCCCCCAGGCTGCTCCTACAAGCAAAAAGAAGAATATGGCGGAGAGCAGAGGTTGTGGGGAGCGGGGGGGGGGGTCCCCTTCCCCCACCTCCAGCCCAGGACATACATGCAGGATGAGACAGGATGGATCTTCCATCTCAGCCCCCCAGGTGGGGGAAATGGGGGTGGGGGCGAGGGTTGTTGTTTCTATGTCCAAGCATATGGTCCTGGCATTATGATCTTTCTCACAGTCAGGAGGGTGTGGGCAGAATTTGAGTGGGGAGCTCCCTCCCAGCGGGGAAAACAACCAGTAACAGACGAGGGAAGAGGATTAATAGTAGGTTTCTTTCTCCACCCATCCTGCAAGAAAAAACAAACAAGGGTAAATATTAGTGCCAAGTAACAGTGCCAGGTAGCAGCCAGGTAGTGCCAGGTAGCAGCCAGGTAGTGCCAGGTAGCAGCCAGGTAGTGCCAGGTAGCAGCCTCCTGCCTCCCCCTATAAAGCTCTGCCCAGATTCGCTGTGATGGCGATGGCATCAAGGGCTTCGTATCAGAGGGGAGCCCAGAATGGGAGCTGTCTGCTCTAGCTAACACCATAGGAAGTGCCTCGCTAGATCAGACAATGTCCCATCATTCTGCACCCACAGCGGCCAACCAGCCTCCTTCAGGGAGCCTCGCACGCCAACATCTCCCAGCAACTGGTCTTGAGAGGCATGCGGCTTCCAATCCTGGAGGCCGGACAAAGCAGCCCATCAGCCAGCCTGATTCCCCGTGGATCATATTTATTATTCTTGCTGTTGTTATTTCCACACGTAAAAAACATTCTTACTGAAGAAAACAGGTGGCATATGGGCCTTTGCATATGGGAGACGGCAAAGCAGAGAAGGAAGGCAGTGAGGAAAGAGAAAAAGAAGGCCTAGAAACGCATTAGGGAGCAGGTGGAAGGCAAGCAGTTCAGATCCCAAGCCCCTCAGATGTGTCTTGCTTACACTATTCTATCAAATGCCATGTGCAAATGAGGAGATAAAAATCAAACCGGCAAAATAACCCTAATGTCGAAGCACACATTCCAGCTTGCCCCCATCTCTGTGCACCCCACTCACCTCCTGGATTACGGCGCAGTATGAGTTTACGGATTTCATCATACACAAAAATGAGGAAACTGTATGGGAAGGCGCAAAACCACCAGCTGGGCCTGCGGAGAGAAGGGAGGAGAGACGCTCAGCAGGAGGGCGGGAGAGGGGCAGGATGGGGAAAAGGGTCCCCGTGGCTGGCGAAGCAGAGATGTTGACTGCTATCGAGGTTGTGAGAAGTAGAAAATTACGGTGACTAACAGACTAGAACAGTTAAGGATATAGATGCCCCACTGCTTCTGCCGGTACTTACTTTAAGGGATACATTCTCAATGCCACATCCATGCCAGGGCAGTAGGATAGGAAGGCGGCCAGGGCGGTCTCCTCAAAGAGACCAAAAATAAGGATCTTGTTTCTGAGGAGAAAAAAAGTATGTTTGAGAGCCCCATTAACTCAAGCTCCCCTTGGTTCCACTGACACACGCTTGGTTTATGTGCACACAGCTCGCACAGCCTCTGTCAGAGTCTTGCAGACTCTTCGTGGGGGCCCCTTGCTGCATAAACGATGAAGGGGCTCTACTCAGGGCCAGAGGAGCAAGGTGAACCCCCCTGGGTTCAAAGGTCACAGTGCCCTAGAACAGAAATGACAGCCTGTGAATGACCCTAGATGAACCAACCCCCTTTTCACACGAGGTCTTTAAAGAGGACACCTCAGAATGGAAGGTGTGAATGAGGTGAACAGGGGGCTGGAAATACATGTCTCTTGCAGGTACAGAAAGCAAAGAGGCCAGGATTGGACACACCTCCCTGTCAAAGTAACTCTTGATGGCAGACTCCAGTTTTCTGCCACGTAACCTGTGGGGAACCTAGAGCGCATCAAGGGATGTGGGATTCTAGGGGATCCCGTGAACCTTCCAGAGAAGCCCTGCCTGAAGAACGCAAGTTCTGAATTCCAAAACTGTAAGATAGCCTTCCTCATCCTAGAGTCCTCCAGATGTTTGGGAGCACATCCTCCAGGACACCTGACCTACGGGCTGGGCCTGGTGGAAGTCTGAGTCTGAAACATTTGGTGTGCATCTGGCTGGGGAGACTGAGCTGTCTGCGAATCCTTAACCCATCCCTTCATGGTTCAGCCCCAGCCTTACCCCTTCACCCTGCATTCCTCTTGCCCACTGAGGCCTGGAACACACTGGTCCTCCCTTCCAGGATCCAGGGGCTGGTTGTAGCGAGCTTGTGTTTCCTCATGCAGACAGAAAACACGGTGGCCTTACCTCATGCCCTGCTGGAAGACTGAATTCCTCCTGGTTTTGCAGATGATCAGGTCAGCCCACTGGACCACCACAATGCTGACGAAGAAGGCGGTGTGGCAGGTGAATTCCACCACTTTGCGCTGCTCGTAGGTCTAGGAGGGCAAAGGAAGATGGAAGCTGTGGACAGGAAGCTGCAGCCCAAGCAGAGCCAGAAATATGGTGCCCCGCCTTCCTCTCGCCCTCAAATTTAAATACATATCTAATCACCAATTTTCATACAGATTCCTTAAATCTCAGATAATTAAGGCCATGAAGTGAACATCAATCTGTCTTCTGCACTGCCCCCAGAGCTGCCGAAACATCAAGATGCCATGGAGGTCCAATTCCATTTTCATGCATGCCATCTCCACCTCCCCACTAGATGTGCCGGATCCTGATGCTGAAAGGTCCAGGAGGTGCAAGCAGGACATCAGTTTTGCATCCCAGTGTTCTGCAGAAAGCACACCTCATGTTCCTCCAGCCCTTTCAGCAGCCAGCAACCCTGTTCTGCTTCAAAGGCAGTGGATTTTGCCAGAACTTATCGGTCAGCAGATTGCATGGTTATTTTTTGATTTGATCTGATTCGATTTGAGGGCAGCTCACAACATAACGTATCAATTAAATATGGAGCACAGTTTTTGCCATTCCCTGCTCAGGTTTCCCCCTTCCCCCTTCCAAATGCAGCTGCAGAGGTTTTCATTAAATGAAAACCAACAGTTTTGCCATGAATCCCCTCCATGTATTTTTATGTCGTCTCTGTTTCCAAAAATAAACAGGAGGCCAAGCAAGGGCACATCTGTTGCTAGGAGCCTGAGGGGGACAGAGATTGAAGGCCTGGAACGGCTGCTTCCACGGCTGCTCTTGCCAGGGAGCTCTATGACCAATAATGGTGCAGTGGTGATCTGAGAGGTTAGATGTAGCTTTTCAAAAGCATTCCCCCGGACAGCTGCTGCCTTGCAGACGTCTTAAGGAGCTGCTGACTCAGCCCTGCAGGCGCAGCACTTTGCCATCGGAGAAGATGCTTCTCCATCCAAAATAGCTGCTGCCGAACACCCACATCCCAGGAGATGCGCCTGCCTCCAACATCCATGCTGCCGAGCACCCACATCGGAAAAGGTGCTTTCACCTCCGACGTGACCGTAGCCTCAAACCCAGTCCAGAGAAGATGCTTACTTACTCTCAGGCAGCCACCTCTGAGATCCCATCCACATCAAACACTGAGTCATGTCTTTACATAAGTCATCACGCAGGTGCTTTTGGCGAAGAACTGGCTGGGGCATGCTAGGATTTGTGGACTGTTTTTCTGCCTGAACTTGCATAGGATTGTGCCTTGAATGGCTAAAGTAGTTACATTAGAATCCTATGCACGCTCACTCCATACTAAATGCTGCTGTTGTAGTTATTGTGTGCCATCAAGTCATCTCCAACTTATCATAACTCTATGAACGAAGGCCCTGCGACATTGTCCTATCTACGGCGTCCCTCCTCAGCTGTCGTAAATTCAAGACTGTGGAATTCCTTGATGGAGTCAATCCATCTCTAAATTGGTCTTGCACTTCCACCTTTGACTATCCCTAGTTTGATGGTTTTCTCCTGGGAGTTTTTCCTTCTCATGATGTGTCCAAGTGAATTCAGTAGTTCTTCCCAGACAAGTGGGTATAGGATTGCAATCTTACCTACTGTAATTACATGGAATGGCCAAACTTAAGTTGCTGCATCTATATAGAAGAGATGGATTCCTTACACTTACCCACTGCTGCCCGTATGAATCTTCCAGGTCATTGACTGTCCGGTCATCCCAGTTAAGACGGATGCCCACAAGAACAGATGGAAGGAACCCATTCTCAGCCAAGATCACAAAGTAGGAGAAGAAGCCGCCCAGTGCCTGAATCATTCCTGCGAAATAATTTGAGAGTTGGTAGAATCCCAATTTTCCATGCCCTTCAGTCATGGCTTTTGACTCCTCTCCCATTTCAGTCATCATGGCAATTCTAATCCCCCTTAAACCCCAGTCAAAGCCCATGTGTTAGCATCATGGGCATAAGCCTGCCTGCATGACCCTCTGTGGCACAGAAGAACGGCAACCGGTGCAAAATTTCCCTATCAGGTTGGTTCGTGATGCTCACTCACCAGGAGCAACCAGGTAATTGGCTATTTGTAAGCTTGTTATTTTCTAATTTTATTTTTGGCAAGAGGAGCATGGGACCTTAGCTGTGCTGTGGAATTCAAACTCCTGAGTAATTAGCTAATGCTATTTAATGTAATTAGCAGAGAAATGAATCCATCAAGGGCAAATGAGTTTAGCTAATTCTATGCCAAAGGCATTTCTGTGAGTTGGCTTCCAGCTTGTAACTGGTGTAGATAAACCAGATTGACACACTTCATGGTGATCTAAATATCATAAGGCAAGATGAAGCCCCCTTACACCAGGTGGGATGAGTATGCTCTGTTCCGATTCAGGCTGGCATCAAGGGCAGACACACCTGGGCACCTGTCAAAGGCCCACAGCCAATGCGGCTCCTGGCAAGAGCATCCCCGGCTGGCTTGGTCCTTCTCTTCCCCACCTCAACCTGCTTCTGACTCTCACGCTGACCAAGGCAAAGAGGGCGGTAAAGAAGGAAGAGCAGCAGAGGTCACGGCCTACTTGCTCACTGGTTCTCTGCCTATCAGGCAAGCGGGTTGCACCAGTGGGGAGAAAGAGGAGGATGGGCAGAGCAGCTGGTGGGAACCGTGGTCAGAAGATTGAGGGAAAGGATCCACTGAGGCTGTCTTTTTTAGGAACCCTGAAATCAGTGCTGTCTGCACCCCAGCTTTCTCTTCCCCATTCCCTCCTTCCTTTCTTCCAGCCTCTACAAAAGGCAGAATGGCAATCCTATGGACACCTGGTTCTTGAAAACAGAATGAATTATAGGTGATAAGGAAGTACATGCACTTGTGTTTCTCTTTTGCAGAATATAAATTTGGTCTGGAGATTCAGGCTAGTATGGGTGCATTGGGCAATGCTGGGTTGCTACAATGCACGTTTAATCACATTTCAAGCCACATTTCATAATTTAACCCGTTCCCCGCATTCCTGCACCAAGTACCTTCCTTCATACAAAGGTGCAATGGAGAGAAGGGAAAGGAGTCGTATCTGAAGTTATCTGGTTTAAATAGCTTATTTCCATCTTTTCATGTTTTTATGACCATGTTTGCTGTTTTAACACCCAAAGAAGATTCACTCTAAAAGGTGTTTTGCAAAAGTTTAAACAAATAGATAACCAATCAAAAACTCATGCCAAGCATTGTAAACTTGTCCTTTTCTGTGCTATTAATTAGGGGCGAGTCTCATAGGATCCTGTGGGATTTACTTCTGGCTACGTAGGCACAGAATCTGCTTGTGAGGCCTTGTTTATATCTTTAACATGCAGCAGTGTTGCCGCTGGTGTCTCCCAGCACTATTCTAGCTTTGCCCCACAGGACTTGCCTTCCTCTTGCTTCAGATGGACAGATTCTGCTCCCATCATGGACACGACACAAGCAGCCAGATCCAGATACCCAGAGGCTGGCTTGACCTTCAAGACGACCTGACGCACAAGCATCCCTCACCGCGTTGCCGTTGTTGCTTCCCTCACTCACCTATCTGCCCGTAGGCCATGCTGATCAGCCTCTCGTTCACCAGCTTGTCAGTCCGGGGGTTTCGTGGCTGGCGCTTCATGATGTCACTCTCGGCTGCTTCGTAAGCCAGGGAGATGGCGGGTACCTGCAGGGGAATCGAGAGCAAGCTGCTGGTAGATTTGCCGAGGGCGCAGGATTGGACCTGAAGTTTTAAGGGCTGGATAAAGGTAAAATCATCTCAAGGGATCAAGGGGGCAAGCTCTTTTCTCCACACCTCACAAGATTCAACTGCTCCCACCTATCCTGTTCGTTGCTTTGTTCTGCAGGGCATTCCAGAAAATTCTTTATTAAGTCAGTTCTTCCAGACTGGTGAGGAGGTGAAATTGTTAAAGAATATGCAGGAACAGAGACACTCAGTGACCAGCCTCTTTAGAAGTTCCAGAAAGATTTGTCTGCATTTTCACCTCAGAATGAGTCTGGCCATTTTGTCATACTGGCAATATGAAATGCGGATCTTGAGCTTCCATGCTCAAACTCCAAATAAGTCTGCACAGCCAGTGCTCCAAAACTACCTAAAGGGCAAGTCTCCCCTGGAAGCTTCAACTGGTTTGATTCTCACGGCAACTCTCCTTCACGCAACCCTGGGACCTGGACATCTTCACTGGACAAGAGAATTCTCAGCACGCTTGTGTGAACGATGGATGCCAGGAAGCCCTGAGCAGGAAACACTGTGATGGGAAACTAGCCTCCTTCTCCTTCCCCCACACCTGAATGGAATCTACCAGTCAGAGGGGTGGTCCCTTCGGATTTCTGTGCACAGATCTTTAAAATTATTTCAGCGAGGCCGCAGGCAACACTGCTGCCCACTTCCCACAGTCTAAAAGGCTGCTCAGGAGCAGCAAGCCTTTGCTAGAAGTGCACCATCGCCTGGAAGGTCCAGCGAAGAGTCACGGGGAGGAAGCCATGGAGGGAGACCAGAGGACCCTGGGGAGCTGGGACTGGAAGTGTCTGCGTGGCAGGCGGAGAGACTCACCATGTCGGTGCCCAGGTCAATGCAGAGGATGGTGATGGTGCCCAGGGGGAGAGGAATGTTGGCCATGATGAACAGCAAGAAGGGGGTGATTTCGGGGATGTTGCTGGTCAAGGTATAGGCGATGGATTTCTTCAGATTGTCGAAGATCAGACGTCCTGGCGGGAGGGAGACATATGGGCATAAGGGGGAGAGACGGGGGGCACAGCTGGGGGAAAGCAGGATTCCCAAAAGTCAGAGAACAGCACCCACTGGTAGTGCCTTGGGTAATCCCTCCCTAATCTTGATTCTGCCCTCCCTTCCTCTCATTCCCCAGGGCGAGTCACAGCTCCATTCTTTTCTCTTATACATATCTTGGAGGGTAGTAGTGCTACCTGGGAACAACTCTTTAGCCTATCCAGCCCCAGACAGGATAAGAAGCAAGAGTTTTAGCTATGAAGAGGAACATATTGTGCCTCGACTATTAGGAAAAATCCCTGATGGAAAACAGTTTAGCAATGGAACAAGTTTCTCAAAGAGGTTTTATTTGGGAGAGGGAGTATGTATTTCCACTACATTCTTCAACTGGCTTAGGGAGCAGTCCTATGGCCCCATAGACAACATCTAGGGAGCCAAAGGATCATTTGGATTTCCAAATCTGAGGTCACATCTGGGAACTCATTCAGGGGAACTGCACCAGCTGCTTCTCCGAGGCCAGACGAGAAAGCTCGGGCACTCGGAGATGGGGGCGGCCTCCCCCATCCTCCCACCCTGCCCAGGATGGCCATAATCCTCTGAGCTTGGAGGTCTGTGGGCATCCCTGTTGGACTGCACCCTTGGCCATTGCTCCTTCTTCCCAGGGAGCCCTGGGACTTGTAGCTCTGTATGAACGAGGAATTCTTGTCAACCTCATCAAACTGCAACTTCCCACTTTTCCAGGAAACGTCAATGGCTATTGAATTGGCACCAAAGAGAAAGAAGACAGACAGACAGCCTGAACCAATGAATGGAAAAAGCAGGGAAGCTGACTTAAGCTACAGATCTGGAGAAACTGTCTAATGGTAAGAGCCATTCAACAGTGGAGCTACCTGCTTTGAGAAGTGCGTGCCTGTCATTTGCTGGACATGGTTCAGCTAAGGCCGCACAGCCATCCGTCACGGATGCGGCTGTTGCAGGTCCGGTCCTATCGATTTGCCCTGAGCTCCTGTCCCTTGCAGGTGTTCAAGAAAAGGTTGACACATCTTCTGGGGATGCTTTACAGAATTAATCTCCCGCTCCATGGGAAATAATTCAGTGTGGTTGCTGCGGGGATGCCCCGAAGATGTTTTTCCCACAGAAGCAGGCCTGCCACTGTTTGGGCAGGACCCCTTCTCCCCAGGACAGTCCCCGCTGCTTACCCTCCTCCACTCCAGTGACAATAGAGGCAAAGTTGTCATCTAAGAGGATCATGTCAGCTGCCTGCTTGGAGACGTCGGAGCCCGCGATGCCCATCGCTACACCAATGTCCGCTTTTTTTAGGGCCGGGGAGTCGTTCACACCATCCCCTGTCACTGCCACGATCGCACCCTGTCCGGCAGAACAAAGACAGATACAGCCGCGAGGAAGAGGTGGTTGGTGCGGCCAACCACAGAGTCTGTGCGCACGGGGCTGGTCATGGTGGAGATCACAGGTGGAGAACATTCCCTGTACGTGTCTGGCAGAGCAGGACTGCTAAGCCATGAGGCCCAGCCGGCATGGCAAATCGCCCCGCTGAGCGTTCATTCTGGAAACCCGAGTGCAACACTGAAGGGCACCAGGCTGGCAGGGCTGGAGGGCATCGGCTCCTTTGGAACCGTCCCTGGGCCTGGCCTTGCAATGGCAGATTGAACTGCTGCAATCAGTGGGCTTCCATACAGCGCCACAACGCAGCTGCTGATTTCTGCAGATCAAGCTGCTCCTAAAAGTGCACGGAAAAAATGGAGAGATTTGTGGGGGTGCTGGGAAGGCTCAGCTGGCAACTCGAGGTTCGTACGAGCTCACATGGATCTGGCTTCAGGGCAGATGAGGGACTCATCTTGCCAGACTTTGCCCCATGGGAGGAAAAACACTTCCTGCGCACACTAAGACGTTTACCACTTCACTCATTTTGTGGACTCTCGAAAGGTTACGTGATTTTGTTGAACGGGTTGCTTGGTTGTAGAAAGCTGAGCCTCAGGGGAAGGTGGGCTCTGAGATCAGGCTGGCACTGCCTTGCCACCGAGCTGGCACCGCCTGGGTGCTCATACTGCATCCCCATCAACCTTTCCATTTGTAAATAAAGGGATTTCGTGCAAAAGGACCGTAACTCTTGATTGCTTTGTCCTCTGCTGGAAAGGAAACCTGCCTTGAACCGCCCGCTACACAAGCTTTGAGGAGTTTGGCAGTGCCTGCTAGCAGGGGGAGTGGGTTGGCAGTTAGGAGCTGGACGTGCCCATCTGGGCTGTCTTCGGATGCCCTACCTGTCTCTGGCAGCCTTCCACAATGATGAGTTTCTGTTGCGGAGAGGTCCGGGCAAACACGATCTCAGTGTGGTTCTGCAGAATCTCGTCAATTTGCTCCGAGGTCATGTCCTTCAGGTCCGTGCCATGGATCACACAGGCTTTGGCATCCCTGGGTGGGCAAATGAGGGACTCATGCTGGGGATGTGGTAGTGAGTGGGCATCTCCACCCGCACACAGAAGAACAGCCCTACCACTGGGTAAGCCAAAGGGACTGCTCAGGAAAGCTGGCGCTCAGGGAAGCATGGCCCCTGAGCTGCAATTGGAGCTGGTGTTGCTTCTCAGCACCAGCCGGAAGGCCCTGCTTCACTGGAACTGCCAGGGGTGAAGGACAGGTGGAAAGTCAGGACAGGACAGGTCATGGGTAGAGGATCCCCTGAGCAGTCGCCGAGGGAGGATGGGATCCAGTGAATCCAGGGCAGGACCAGATGTATAGGAACTGAGAGAAAGCCACACTGGCAAGTGGAGAAGAAAGAAATCTTACAGAAATGTGAATAATCTAGAGGAACTCAAAAACCAGGCAGGATGGGTGAGATAAGCAAGGACAGCTGTGTGGTCTCCCGTGAGCTCATTTTGGGGCTGCTTTTCCTTTATTCCTCAATTCGAATGAGTCACAGTTTTCTGCTGCAGGAAGCTGAGGCTCAGGGAAAGCAGGCTGGTGGGTTCCAAGCTCAGGTTGGCCGGGACTTTGCTACAGGCTAGCCTGCCCCCCTTCCAAGCAGTTCTGAAGGATAGACCCACGCGACAGGCTGAAACTAGTTCAAAGGCCATTGCCTCTGGCCCTGGGAATTGCACTCCCTGAACTAGTTCTCAGAATTTTCATCCAGGCCAGTGAGGGATGCAGCCGTAACAGTGAAATGGATAATGAAACCGAGAGTGCTGTGGATTCCCTAACGCTGGTTTCCAAGTGGCTTCCCATTCCGGTTCTAGCCAAGACCAGACTTCCTTAGGTTCATAGAGGGCTCTTTTCCTCCTAACATGCCTGCAGAACATTGGCTCAGGCGAGCAGTCCTCAGGTGAGTCTCTTCCTTGCCCCAGAGTAAGCTGTTCTTCTCGGTGCCTTCTACAGTGGATCTGGTCCCTCAGCCTCCTCCCCGACCCCTGGTGTCCGATTCCTCCCTCGCCCACCAGCCCCTCCATCCTGCCTCCTGCCCCTCACCTGGGGTTGACCTGGCTGACGGGAATGTTCAGTCGGGCAGCAATGTCTTCCACAGTCTCATTGCCCTCAGAGATAATCCCCACACCTTTGGCAATGGCCTTGGCTGTGATGGGATGGTCACCTGTTACCATGATCACCTGGTGGGGCAGAAGGGAGGTTACCAGAGGACACCCAGTAAGGAGCAGACCACCGGGAAGATTGTCCAGCAAACCGAGAAAGTCTGTCTAGCCCATGTCAGTCCACCCTTCCATCCCAACAGCTAGAGCTGTAGAAGGAAGCCCGAGGGGCCCCTTGGGCAACCGTGGCTAAGGTAGCCCAGGCGGTTACCATGGTGATGCAAGTTCCTTCTTAATCCCTCCCTCAGTGTGGATCTAGTTCAAGCCAAAGGTGTCACAGCCCCTCAGAATGCCATTGGCTCAGCTTCTCTGATTTCACAGAAGGCTTTGCAGCCTTAGGCCAATCAGGTGACTGCCCAGAACTTTGGATTCTGGATCCTGAAGTCCAGAGGCGATTGATTGGTAAAGAGCCCAGGGGTGTGCCTCAGCCACAGGCTTTTGAATGATCTTGGAGGTGCCAATGAATCACCAGCAAGGGACATAAAACATGTAGCGCTGCTAAGACAAGGCTGCTCCTCCAGAAGGAGAAGCAGATGGCCCAGGCAAAGCATCGTCCCACAGAGAGCTCCATCTCAGCACTGGGGCAAGTGCATTTTCGTACAGCTGCCAGTCACCCACTGAATTTACCTTGATGCCAGCACTGCGGCACTTGCCCACAGCATCGGGCACAGCGGCACGGGGTGGGTCGATCATGGACATGAGTCCTACGAAGCAGAGGTTTTCCGTGGAAAAGTTGACATCGTCACAGTCGAAGGCAAAACCTTTAGGGTACTGTTCCTCAGGCAGGTAGTAGTGGCAGAAACCTGTAGGGTGAGAAGGAGATATTTCAAAGCTTAGAGCTTGCTCTGTACAACCTGGATTGCCAGAAGCTAACTCAGCCTCATCTCTTCAAGAGCTTGGAATCCCCACATCCAAGAATGTCTAACAGCTCCTTGATCTTAAAAACCTGGGCCAGGAATCCATATCGTCAGTTGCTGCAGAAATCAGTAGGTTCTTTCTACCTGGCCTCTAGAAAATGCTATTAGCTCCTGGATTTTGCATGACTTTTGCAAAGTCATGCAAAAGTCTGTCCACCTGCAACTGACATTTGTCAGCCCTTCCCTCTGGGAGCCTATTCCCTGCTCGTATCCGCACCCAGCCAGCAAGCCAGCCGTACCTAGCACCCGCTCGCCAAGTCCGCCCAGCTCCAGGTAGGCATTCTGGAAAGCTTCTTTCAGCTCTTCATCAAGGGGCTGTTCTTTGCCTTGCAGCAGGATGGTGGAGCATCGGTCCAGGATGCGCTCAGGTGCACCCTTCATAACCAGCAGGTAGCGGTTATCGTTGGGGTCCTCTGTTTCGTGAATTGAGAGCTGCATGAGGAAGAAAGGGAAACTCTCTGGAGACAAGTAGCGCTCCTAGATCTGCAGGCAAAAAACCACGCCACTGTGGCACAAACTAAGGTGAGCAGCTCCCCCACACTGGCTGGTGCATTTAATCAGAAAGAGTGAAGCCAGCAGCAGGAGCAGCAGCAGCATCTTAAGGCACCTAAGATATACCAAAGACTCATCCTATGCATGTTCCGACAGAAAAAGTTTCACAAGTTCCAGCATCCCCAGGGTATGGAGGAGCTGCTGAGATGGAACGTGGCAGTTCTGCCTGCCCCCCCACTCCCGCCCCACCAACCTGGCACCATCTGGGTGGGGCAGGGCTGTGACAGGTACTGAAAAGATTCGGGGTTCAGGCCCATGGGACAAACAAAAACAACAAGGCGCACTTGAGCAAAGAGCCAGGGGTTTTTTCCTGTGAGATGCAACAGACAACCTCAGGGCCATGCCCCACCCCAGAGATTTGAGGCTTCAAATTAAAGATTTGGGGCGCCAACTCTAGCGGGCCAACTCCTGGTTGGATCAGTACTCCCATCATCCCCAGCATACAGGCAAGTTGGGGATTGTGTGCATTGTCATCCACCGCCTCCCCCCACAACAACTGCCATGTCAGAGGTAAGATGTTAATCGCTGGTACATTTTGGCCCTGGGCAGAAAGAACGCAGACAGGAATCCACCCGGCACAGGGGCGCTGCCCTTGCCGGCTCTTTGAGGAGTTGTTTGCTGGGGCCAATCATTCCGGACTGTTGCCCAGAGGGAATCCTAGCTAATCCTCCTCAGCTGTCAGCAAAGGACACAGGATTAAAGCTGATGGGCCTGAGAATTCAGTTATGCAGAGCAGCATTGCAAGCCTGGACTCAATGGCCTCTCCATGGGAACTACACAATACAGAAGCTGAAAAGCCTGAGCTAGGCCCAGGCTGGGGTCCCCCTGTATAGATATCAGTTTTCCAGGCAGGCCATCCCAGTTTTCTAAAATGTGGGGTAACTAAGGCAGTGGTGGGGATGAGCTCCTGTTGCAAAGAGCTGGAAGGAAGCACACAAACACGTGTCACAGTCCTAGTAGATCACTATTTGAAAATTCGTTGTGATAGCACGTGTTCAAGCCAGATGAAAGGTAACGCCTTCGCACAACGTGGAATGCCTGTATGAACGGGGTTCCCAAACCAGGGGCCATGAGTCCTTCCACGGGGTCCGTGGAATGGCTGAGGACCAGTTGCAATATCAATAGTTCTTTTTTTTTTTTTTTTTCTGATCATGAGGTCAGGACTGGCTTGCCCAAGAAAGCAAAGAAAGGCCTCAGAGTTGGCTGTTCACCCCTGAGGGAAACACCAAAGTAGGAGACCTCACTGCGGGAGAACGATCCGCTTCAACACAATATTGTCCTGTAGCAGTAGTTGCTACCACTTCCCCATTAGCCCAGAGATGAAGCCTGACAAGAATAAGTGACCTTCCTGACATTCTCCCTTCAGCTGAGGAGGTACCCAAGGAATTTCCACCCTCTGTGTGGCTACAGCTGTTGAAAAACTGAGCACCAAATGGCTTTCTTAGGTGTGATTGGCATCGCCTCTGTTCATAAGCTGTAATGTGAGAAGAGCGAGACACATGGCCAGAGCTCTGCCAGGAGGAGGAGGAGGAGGAGGAGGTCTAGAACACAAGACTGGGACTGTGGGGAAGTGGAAGGGATACTATTATAGTACGGTTTCGGATAAAGGGGAATGTTGCATGAAAGGAGACTCTGGAAGACAGGGTGGTACAATGAGGAAAGTTTACAGAGTAAGTCAATGATTTTTATAGGTGACCATCATATTAGAATGTCTTCGAGAGAAGGTTCTAAAGAATGAGCAAACCCTAAAGACAAGGTGCAAGAGAGTTGTCGTTTTACCATATCTGCTCCTTTCCTACAGGTAGTGTTGTTGTTGTTGTTTTTCAAGAACTCTGGTGTGAGGAGGCATTTTATTCAGGTTGCCCCAAACAGTCCTCTTAAAGAAGCTCCCTCTATTTCGAAGGAGAGAGCCTGTACCTGGTATTTGTTGGTGGAGTTGAAGGGGATTTCGGCCACTTTCTTGTTTTTCTCCCTCATCAGTTTGACGGATCCTGAGGAGAGCTCAATGCATTTCAACAGGGCGGACTCTGACGCATCTCCGGCCACATCACGCTGTGGGAAAGGAAAGGGGTGTATAAATGATGCAGGAAGCCTCTCCCTTGCCCCCCCACATTATTTTGCTTAGCTGTGAGTAGCCACCCCAATCCTTCCTCCACCCGCAAATTCTCACGTCTAGGGCAGTTACCTACCGGGGCATTTTCACTCAGAAAGGGAAGGAGACACGCTATCACCCCAAGGACATCGCGGCCTAGACCCCAGGGCTTCCCCAGTCTTCAGCTTTCCCCTTCTTGGCTGGGACCCAGTGAAATGTGGGTCCCAGGACATCCGGGTTATCCTGGTGCCCTCACCTTGAGGATGGGCACGTTCTCCTGACCTCCTTTGAAGACAGCCCGGTTGCAAAGCCCTGCGATGTGGGAAAGGGCCACCCAGGTGGGAGAACTCTTATCGAAAGCCGTGCCTGCAAGGAAAAGAAACGGAGGTGAAGGGGTCAGATGGCGAAGTTCTAGCTAGGGTGGCTGGGAGTGCTGGGTGTTGTAGTCCAAAGGACCGTCTACACCCATATGTACCTACCCGCCCCCTCAGACCAGCTCAGGAGGCCCTTCTGCAAGAACCGCCCCTCAGGGAGATGAGAGGGGGGCAACCAGGCGAAGGGCCTTCTCTGCTGCTGCTCCCCATCTTTGGAACTCCCTCCCTAGGGAAATTCGCATGGCGCCATCTCTATTTTCCTTTTGGCGCCAGGAGAAAACGTATCTCTTTAGGAAACTTTTTAGCACTTAGCCTGAATGCCGTGGCCCTTTTAATATTGCTTTCATTTAGTTATGTTCAATAGGTTTTCAATGTGTTTTATTTTGTTTAATACATTTTATGTACTATAAGCCACCTACGAAGGCCTTGGCAGTTATAGGCAGCCTATAAATACATGTATTGATTGATTAATTAATTAATGTAAGGCACCGGACTGGAGAAGGCTCCTCTAAGGAATATGGGGATGGGAAACCAGACTTGGACACTGAGATGAATGCAGGCATCCCGAGGATGAGACAGGAATCCCTTCATTTCATGTTGCCTCATCCACAAAGAGCCATCCTGTGATGTCATGACGGTTCTTGCCCCAAGACCAGGGAAAGATACATGATCCCCATCTACCACCCCGAGCCCTCACCGGACTGGTCTTCCGTGGTATCTGCCTCATGGATCTGGTTGTCGAACCACATGTGAGCAACCGTCATGCGGTTCTGTGTCAGGGTCCCTGTCTTGTCTGAACAGATGGTTGAGGTAGAGCCCAGCGTCTCCACGGCTTCCAGGTTCTTCACCAGGCAGTTCTTCCGAGCCATGCGCTTGGCCGTCAACGTCAGGCACACCTAAAGGGGTGAAAGGGGGTCATGGCGGGCTGCAGGAAGGCACCCCAATGCCCCTGAGGTGCAAAGGGTTGCTGGCAAATTCTTCATAATTCACAGCTTCCCATGAATCACCCCCTAACTCTAATATAGGGGTATATTTCCAGGGATAATAATGCGATTTTGAAAAAGCCTTCCCTGAGTAGCTTTCTCTGTGCATCTCATCATTTCTGCCCATTCTGAACACATTCCAACCGTCCAAACCATGCCAGGACACCTCCTTTTTCTAACCCTAACCCTAGCCTGGTGCACACCCCTAACCCTAATATAGGAGTATAGTTCCATTGATAATAATGGATTTTGAAAAAGCCTTCCCTGAGTAGCTTTTTCTGCGCATCTCATCATCTCTGCCCATTCTAAACACATTCCAACCATCTAAACCATGCCAGGACACCTCCTTTTTCCAGACCCTTTTCCCACATGCCTCTGTTTCGTGTTCATTTTTAAAAAGAAGCCTCAAGGGGAAAGATGCAGGGAGTGTTCTGTCCATTTCTCCAGTAAGTAAGAACTTTTCCCCCTCTCCCCACACATGCAGCCCCGATCTCGCCAGATTGCTTACAGTGACAGTGGCCAGCAGTCCTTCGGGGACATTGGCCACGATGATGCCAATGAGGAAAATGACAGCTTCCAGCCAGGTGTAGCCCAGAATCAGGGAGAGGATGAAGAAGGAGACGCCCAGAAAGACAGCCACACCAGTGATCAGCTGGATGAAGTGCTCAATCTCCACAGCGATGGGGGTTTTGCCAACCTCCAGGCCTGAAGCCAGGGTAGCGATGCGCCCCATCACGGTGCGGTCGCCAGTGGCAATGACGACGCCACGAGCCGTGCCTGGTGGGATGAGAAAAGCTGCGCATTGATATGGGATTTATACCAGTTGAGTTGGCATGACCACCCTACAAGAATCTGGGAAGTGTTGTTTCAAAGAGACAGAGCTGCCCATTTGAAATTCCAGTAGCCCAGCACAGAACTACAGTTTTAAGGATTTCTGAACAGAGAAGGAAGTACTCTGTGGTGCATCTAGGCATGAGTTTTATTCCTCCAACCTCCAGATAAGCACGAACTAGAGGGTGCAGGTCGCCTACTCTATGGAGGATAGTCCTCTATTGGAAAATCTACCAGTCCTCTATTTGAAGGCATTTCAATCCTAAGAGCTTTGCAGTGCAAATTCAGGTTAAAGATAACATTTCGAAAGGACAAGTGATTTAAAATTGCCTTCAGCATGTGTAAGCACGCATTCAGGTGCCTGGTCTTAGTTTTCCCCACTGTGTTCTGATGTTCTATACATTCCTTTGAATCATAGTCAGTATTTCTAAATTTGAATCCATAGATATTAAACTGCATATGTACTTTGTATGCAATTTTTTACAGGGGAAATAGGTTTCTTCTTTGGGAGTAATTCCCACCCTAGCCCAATCTCTGGATGTACCTTCTACACAGTTGGTAGAGAAAAAAGTGATATTCCTTGTCTCCAGAGGGTTGTCATGGGTGCAATCAGGTGATCGAGTCTGAGGTTCTGATTCACCAGTCAAAGAGGAATTATCCACCTGAAGAGAAAGATGCCAACCATTCAGTCAATGAAAGTGGAGCAAATACAGTGAAAACTTTACACTCAAATCATCTCATGTTCAAACTGGCATATCAGTTTTTCAGATTCTCAAACCTGGCTTCTAGGCAGCAAGAAAGCCAACGATTTCGCAGTGTAACTTTTCCAGCTTAATTGGAATGCTAGCTTCCAAACAACAGCTGCTTCACACAGTACAACATTCAGACAAAGCTATTGTGGCAGCCCAGTGAAATTCGATAGGAAAATGGTCGGGGGAAAGAGTTAGTGTGTGCAGAGGTGTGCACCCAGACTGTTTCTTCTCTGTCTCTCAGGTACAGAGATGTGCCTCGCAGGATAGTGGAGTTTGTCAGTGGACTCTCCATTTGCCTTGGATGAGCCTGGGAGAAAACCTTTGGCAAATGACACGACGCAGGCGTCTCCAGGTGTTCCACACTCCAGAGCAGCCTGCTGAAAAGAACACAAGCTCAGAGCTGGAGAGGCTGCTAAAGCTTCACCTTGCAGCCATGGGCTGAGATGATCCGTAGGTCAGCTGGGACTCTGTCTCCACCTTTCACTTCTACCAGATCTCCGACCACCACATCTTCAGCATTGAGTTGCATCTTCTCGCCTTCCCGGATGACCAGGGCTTGCTGTGGGATGAGAGAGGCAGGCTCAGGCAGGTAAGCAGAAAGGATGGGTTCTCAGCTACTGGCACAGGTCTCCTAAAACACATCACCTTAGGGCACTGTCTCCAAGAGGGACTGAAATAATAGAGTTATCATCCATATGTACATTATTCATCCTGTATGTAGCATTTCCAACTTGTCATGGTGCTGCCTGTAATCATAACAGCCTGCAATTCTCAATATGTCATCTCCTTCACTTCATAGAACTCTCTGAAGTAGCTTGCTACTCTTGTTCCCATTTTACAGGTAGGAAAACTGAGAGACAAAGCCAGCAGGGGCCAATTCATCATTAATCTAAAGTTTTAATCTGTAACTAAATCTAGGAATAAAGCCAATGTCTAAAAGCAAACACAATGGGTATTTCTTCTTTTTCTCATTCCTCTCCTACCAGAGGCTGGTCATTATTCTAATGTCTTTAGAGATGCTTGCTCTAAGCAGTTATAATGCATTGCTCCCAGCCCTTCTTCAAGAGTTTCAGATCATCTCCCTAAACTTCTTTTCCCATTTATTTGCCTTCTGCAATCAGTTCCACAGGTCTATATTTTTCATTTCTCATTATATGACCAAAATAGTCTAGTTTTCTGCCTTTTCTGTGTTTTTAAAGTTGTTGATCTTTAAAGTATTGTAGAGCAGTTATTGATTTATACATGCTCTATAATACTTCTTTGTTGATCACCCTCTTAGTCCATGAAATGCGTAACATCCTGGGATAAATCCATTTCATATGGTTCCATCTTTTTTGAAATTCATCAGCGCATGCCTTGGGGGGGAAAGCTATGGACTTGTGCATGTTCTCCTGTCATTTCCTCATGGCTGCCCACTCTAGTTAAGCATGCTGTGGATGATGGTTTGTGGTTCTGCCCATTACAGTCTGAACCTGTTTCTAAACAAGAATGTTAGCTGACCTGGAGCAGGAGGAGAGAGCTGCCCATTCTCCTTGCTTCCTTTTGCTCCTGTCGCTCAGGCACAATTTTTTATTTCAAAAGCCGGGAAATGTAGTTGGCCAGAGCGACAGAGCCAAGATGGCACCCAGAGCATTAAGACGGAGCTGCAGCGGGTGCTGATTGTGGAAGTCTATGCATGCCTCCGGCAGAATCAGAGAGGCCATGGGTCAAACCAGGCAGGAGCTGAAGGTTCCTGGTTTTCCAAAGATCAGTACTGGTTATTCTTTTTCTCTGTGTGTGAAGTCTGCCTTCCCATGTTTTGTTTCCTTTTCACTGCCCCACAGCAGTGGGGGCTCCAATACTGGTGAATCAATGCACCCTCTCTGGATCTCAAGCCAAACTTTAGAAGGAGCTCTCCGTGGTGCTGATGCTACTCCGGGGTTCAATTCAGCACCATGGAGAGCTCCTTAAAATTCAGGCTCCAATATTGGCTCCCTGATATTGGAGTCACCAACTTCCACTGCCCAGTTGCCTGGCAGAACACAGCAAAACCTGTTTCCCTCGAAGTGTATCAAACCGCCATTCCAGGCCAGTCTCTTTGCTCTTTCTCTCGTACCTGAGGCACCATGTTCTTGAAGGATTCCATGATCTTAGAGCTTTTGGCTTCTTGGTAGTAGGAGAAACAGCCGGTGATGATGACAACAGCAGCCAAGACAATACCAAGGTAGAGCTGTAGGAGGGCAGAAACAGAAATGGGACATTGGAGCTTCAGGAACTGCATGGAGTTGTCTTGCCCTGCCTTGCCTCACCCCCAGACACACTGCAGAACGCTGCTCTTCGGAAACTCACGTTGTCTCCTGCTGGGTCATCCTCGGTCCCTGCCTGGATGCCGTAGGCCAGGAAACAGAGGATGGCGCCAATCCACAAGAGGATGGAGAATCCCCCAAAGAGCTGACGGCAAAACTTCACCCATTCAGGCGTGGTCGGCGGTGGGGTGAGTGCATTGGGGCCATCCCGGGCCAAGATCTCTTGGGCTTTGCTGTGGGTCAGACCCTAGATGAGGAGACAGAGAAGTAAGAAAGGAGTCCATGCCCCATGTCCCTCCATCCTTCCAGCTCTTTGTCCACACAACCTAACTCTCTACCTCTTGACTATCTTCGTTTCTACTACAAGAAATTCCTCAGGCCACTTTCACCCACATAAGACCCAATGCTGTTCTAGCTTCTATGGCACTGCAAGCCTTAAAAAAATCCTCAGACCCTTCAACAACCAGAGTGCTATTTGCAGTACCCATTACCCATCTCCTTGTTCTCTTCTCCCAAACATAAATAGTGCAAGAGAGAGCAGGAGACCATTTAAATCACACTTTCAAAGATGTTCTGAGGTTCCCCACAGACACTGTTACAGCGGGTGCAGGAATTTGGATGATAATCCCCACCTGTATTTTAAAAAATTGCAAGGAGATGGGGACTAAAGGTAAGAAATGGCATCTCTCAGAAATCTGCTGCCCATATTCACACACCTCCCAGGTTTTACACAGGTCTTGACCCTGCCTCAGAGTCTTCCCACCCTTGTTTGTTGCAGAGGGTCAGATTTCAGGGCGAGCAACCTGGGAGGCAGATCTGGCCACCCAGCTGGCCCTGCAGCATCCTCCAGATGGCTGTGGCCGTGCCCCAGTGCCCACCTCCTTTCACCCCACCAGCCTATCACAGTTATATGCAGCTCCCACCCTGCCATTCGGCAAGGTTGAAAGGTCTCCCCTGAGGCTCAGCGCTGGATGCCACATGCCCCAACTTTTCCCTTTGGCTCCATGTCACTGCAGTGTGGCCTCAAAGAAATCCTCTGAAAGAGAATTTGACCCTCAGGGTTGCCCATCCTTGTTGACTGATAAAGCACCAAACCTGGCCATGCTTATCTACCGACACCCCGGCAAACCCGTTTGCTTGCAAGGGACCAAACCCAGCTGCCACCCTCAGGTGGGGCGACCTTCTTCCTTTCAGCCACCCCTGCCAGCCAGCTGTTGGCCCCATCCAGGTGTCTTCAAGCCAGGCTCAGAGTGTTACACAAACCCCGGGAAACTGCAGCTTCTCCCAACCCATCTCCAACCTGGGATGAGGGACAATCTAGCCCCACGGGGTGGGGGAAATAGCACGGACTGGAGTCCTTCACCTGCACGCAGTCTGTGTTGTATTTTCGGCACACTTCCTCAATGGACATTTTGTGCTCGGTCTGAAAAAGCACGAAAGCAGAGGGAAAATTAGGGATCTGTTCTGGGGCTCCCTCCTCCTCTTCCTCCCCACACACACAGTCTACTGCGAAATTGAATGATAAGCCCCCAAAACATGGGCACATCCCAGGCAGAAGCAAGAACACGCCCTGGCTGGCTCGTTCTCCCTGCCCCACCACTCACCATCGCCACCTCCTTCTTAAGGTCATCCAGGTCTCGGACCTTCTGCTGTGCTTTGCTCTTCTTGGGCGAGGAGTTCTCATCGTGTTTGTCTTGCGTGGTTGCCACGCGGTAGCTGTCTGAGCGCCCATACTGCACGGGGGAGAGAGAAGCAGGGCCCGGGCGTCACATGGGGTGAGCGGAGGAGTCCCTTCCCCCTGCTAGAATTCCCTGACCCCAAAGTGCCAAGCCATCCCAAATAAGAAAGGCCGCTTCCCAAAAGATTCCCAGGTAGAAATGTCTGGGGCAAAACATCATGGATTATGCCCCAGTGCAGGCACAATACCCTTAATTATCTGGTACGAAAACAGCTCCCATTAATACCCAAAGAAAAAAGAGTCCTTTCTGGAGAGGACTTTAGCAAGACAAACCAAGAGTTTCTCCCCTATGCTCCAGCGCTATCGCCGAGATCGTGACCATGCTGGGTGGGGATGATGGGAGTTGTAGTCCAGCATGTCTGGAGGACACCAGGCTGGGGAAGGCTGTTGTGGGACTAAGTTGGATAAACAATGTGGGAAAGACCTTCTTGGTGGTCACTGCACAGTTGTGCAACTATATTCCTTTGGAGACTCAGCAAAGTCTGAACCTGAGCAGCCAGAACACAATTCATTTCTGGAAGGCAGCCCTGTGAGATGAAGTGATCTCCAGTAGTCTGAATGGGATTCACAGAAAAAAATCAGCTTTTGGCATAACAGACAACTGCAGAACCTCCATGTTCAAGGGCAGTATACCACCAATTACTAGATACTGAAACTGGATAATATGGAAAGGCTCTCCACTACAGCAGCAGAATGCTGCATTCACTAGTTCCTTCATGTGATCCAGCAAAACTGCTTTTATGGGTTGAAACTGGTGTTGGACAAATCTTGAAGATGGTATTTTCATTTTCATGTTCCATTTCATTTAATTATTGTTTTTATCAGATTGTGGTTTGTAGCATTGCTGTTGCTCTTAAAATCCAAATAATTAAATACTGCCATCTTCTTTCACTTTGTGGCTTCCTTTTCCCCACAGGCAGGCGATGACAAGGCAGCCCTCTGAATCCTGGGACTGCCAGGGTTTAGCCCACAAGAAGGAAATGGAGGAAGTCTGGCCAGATCTTACGATGGAAGAAGATGCCCCAGAAAAGCTGGCCTTGTGCCGAATTAGTGACCAGGCTGTAGCTTAGTAACATCTCAGTTTAAAGGCTACCTAGGTCAAAACCCCAGCTAAAGAGACATTGGAGAAGCAAACCGATGGCCTGACCCAATATAAGGCAGTGGTGTCTGTCCATACAACGATTCTTGCATCAGTAATACTATTTGATGAAAAAGAGACACAAATCTTTTTGATCCTGCCACAGCTAATTCCACATGCAGGGCATGTGCATGCGTACCTCCTGCTCATTTCCAAACAAGCATCAGAAACTGAGCTTGTTCTGGTTTCACAGATACATCCCTACCATCTTCATACCCTTCCGAAGTCATGCGCAAGAACAGTTGCTCTGGAGCCCTGATCTCTCTCTTTTTTTTAGAGGTGTTCCATCTTTTCCATATCTTTTAGGCAAGTGAACTGAGGAATAAGCACAGCCAGAGAGTTCCCCCATCCTAGAAACTATTGCTAGGAGGTGGTGATCTTTGCTTGTCTGTGCACCCGTTTAATCCTAGGTGTGTCCCCACCTTGCCAGAGCAAGGAAGATGCCCTGCAGCTGTGCGCAGGCAGTATTTTTTGGAGGTTGCTTTGTCTGTTGCTCTTTTCTTCTTCTTCCGCTATCATCTCCGAGCAAACAGGTGTTGGAGTTTCTCAGGTAGCTGCAAAGTCTTTTTATAGTTTACTTACAGGATTTAGATCACCTTTCCCATACTGCACAGTACATTAAATGTACTGCACAATGGAGGGAAAGCATGGCGCATCAAAAGCGACCGTGTTTCTGTCAAGCTACCATACAAGAATTTGAAAGGTACCATCTGTACAGAGCTTCACGGTGCCTTCCTTTTTCAGGCCTCTAACTAGAAGATTCACCCACAACCGAATAAGGTCAAAGGAAGAGGATGTCCTGAAGGGAGGGGACATGTCGACTGTACACGGCCTTGAAGGCATCTGCTGGGCTTCATCTCTGAAGCTGATCAAGGTTGGGATCAGCAAAGATGGCCATGTCGGTGTAATGAAGGCCTTTGTGCCTAAAGGCCTCAAAAGGATATTTTGGGACCTTGACTGACCTTCACATGCCCTTCCCAGCACAACCATGTTGGGAGGCCGATGTGAAAACTTTGAGCCATGAGTCTTGGCTGAAACCTGGGATTGTCCTCCTGAGGGTCTCACGTGGGGGCCAAAAGCACATCTACCAACCCCTTGCACTCTGTTCCTGTGAGAGCACCAGGTGCAATATAAATCCTGGTCCAGAAGCTGAGATCCTGGCAAAGAGAAGGATGCAACCTGAAAACAGCACACCAGCTTCATCCGTCCTTGGACACACGCCTACAAGATCCACGCTCATTGGTGTGTTTGCACACATGCACACACACACACACACACACACAGTTACATTTCAAGAGAATTTCCCTTAAGGTGCATGGACCAAGGCCCTGAAGGCATCACACAATTACGCATGTGTGCATCCATACATGCAAACCACCCCAAGAAAATGGGAAAGGAAGGAGATGCGCTTTGCTTGCAGTCCTCAATCCCTAAAGCTTTTCTAAGGCTCTGCAGACCACTGTGCCAACAGGCACATATTCACACGGTGGTGCCCACATCTCCCATGGGCCACACAAACATTGGTTGCATTCCTCCGTGGTAGGGGAAGCTACAGATCTGCAAAGACTGTCTTTTTTGTCTACTAAGAGAAGTGGGGATAGATCTGGGGCAGTGTTTGTGGGATGCACTAACTCCCCCCAAGTAATCTAAGGGTCCCAGTCACTTCACCAAAGCACCGTGCCTTAGAGGAAGGGCAGCTCATAAACACCACCGTTTTACACTGCCGTGCCCTTCGCAGCTGCATGAAGAGAGGATGTGTTGCTGTGCAGTGCAAAGAATAAAAGAAATGCATTGTTTCCAATGACCTAGTTTAAAAAGTGGGGATGCGGAAAGGGGGATCCCTCCCCACCCCCACAAGCGCACAGCCCCCCTGGGGACAAAGCCTGCTGCTGAACGCCTGGGAGATCTTGGCCGGGACCTGGGCTGCCGTGAGGGGATGTGTCTGGCTGAGGGCACCACAACGT